TAATAATAATAATAATGTTGTAGGGTGTGTTTGTATGTATGTGTAAGGAGAGTGAGGGCTGACCACAAGATCGGTCCTTCAAACCCCTGCATTCGTACAGAAGCTCTGTTGCCTTAGCTTGTCAATAAAGCACAGAGATCAAGAAGCATCCAGAATTCAGCCCTGAATTCGAACGGAGGCGGACCAAACCTTGCTTATTTGTGTTCTGCTAGAAATGCTCCCTGTCCCTACCCTTGGCCACAACATTTGATCCCCCGTCTTCTCAAGCCTTTGCAAACCTTTCTATTCCGAAGCCGAATTGAACGTTAAGACGAAATTTCTGTAGCTGTCACTGCAGCAGGCTGCTGGTAGAAGGAGCTGCTGCTGTAAAAGGCTATGGATTCCTACTGTTTCTCTCCTCCTCCCTCTTTCTCTCTCTGTCTTTTTTTTAAAAAAAACTTTATTTCTTCATACATCCATAACCGACACGCAAATCATCCGCGGCTGAGATTGTGGCCAGACTGGGCTATTAAAAAACAAAACCACCGCCCCTGAAACCCAGGAGCAAAGATCCGAAGGAAACTTACCCCCGTCCCAGCCGCAACCCCTAGTGCATCCTTTCCCGGAAAGATGGAAATGCAAAGGTCGGCTTGCTCTCGAGGGGAGCCACAATTTGTCTGTGGGCTGTGCTTTCCCTCCTCAGCTGCATCGTACTGCCTTTTCCAGGGGCTCGGCAACCACCTGATCAGCACTCCATCTGAGGACTGCAGAGCCGTCGTCGTCGTCTTGGTGCTGAGTCAAATTTATTGCAAGGGGTGCATGCTCGACAAAACGGATAGTCCCTTTTTTTTTAAGAGAGGGGGAGAGAGGGAGAAAAATCCCCTAGTTTCCAAACTTCTCTCCGTTATGGCCGTTCTCCCCACCCTTCCCGATGGATGTGTCTTGGAAAGATTAGGATGCAGCACACATACTTGGGTTGTGCAAACAGCCCTCCTGATTCAGGGCGGTTTTGAGTTCATTTATTTATTCGTTTTTAATTTTGTTAGCCATAAGCCTCGCTCCGTGTTCAGCCTCCTCTGCTTCTGTGCCTTCTCTTCCAACCCCAGTGGCCGTTCCAGAGGGCTCCCGTTACATTCCTAAAAGGAAGCTCTCGAAAATGGACAGGGAGTAGGTCAGCTAGACTCCGTTTCACAGCCTTGCAAAGGGACCCTTAAGATCACTTAGTCCAGCCCCCAGGTCTGGGATGAGAGTCACCTTTTGCCAGCCTACCTCTGGCCCCGCGCAATGGATTTGTGAAACCATAATCCCCCCTTACCCTTGATTGCTCTGGACGTCCGGCAAGGAAGGAGAGAAGAGATTCCCTGGGCTGGGATTTCCTACGTGATTTAAGTAACCGTCGGTGAAGTCTTGCTGTCTTCAGTGCCGTTGCAGCCTGGGACCGAATCTTACCATTTGCAACGCTGCCTGGCCCCAATAAGATTGCAGGGGGTCATGAAGATAATAAACCTATAGGTCAGGAGTTGCATAAAATTAAACAGTGAAGCTTTTAAGTTTTCTCACATCAGCTAATCCCTTTGGAATAAAAACAGCAATGTTTAAGCCCTTTTCATCTGAAATTGTATTTAAGTAGACCTCCCCCACCCCAGTTCAGCAGAGCTTATTTCCAAGTAGAAAGGCATAGGAATATCATGTACTCTTAAGACATGTCAGATAGGTTTTTGGCGTTCTGCAACCTGACAGGTGTTACAAGCTCTGTCGTCCCGTGGTTATTGGCCCAGGACGAGGGTGGTTGTAGTCCAAAGCCTTTGGAAGGGAGGGTTGTGGAGTAAGGACATATGCCAGCATCCCACGCCTGAGTCCTAAGGAGCCAGTCATGGGTGAATATCCCAGTAACAGAGCCTCTTGGCTAATGTGGTCAGGCTGGAAGGATGATCATTCATGGCTATAACCTGCGGCAAAAAGGGGATGGCAACCTAAACGGACCTTTTAATGGGGCTGCTTAAATGTGCTTCGCTGGGTATGGAATTGTAACCAGGCTGTGTAAGGCTGCCTGACATATGGAGCAGCCCGAGGAGGGCCGCAGGTGACTTAGTGTTGCCTCGCAGATGATGACCAAATCCTGCGCTTCTTGTGTGCTGAGACGATTTTGGCCTCCTTTGGCGCTGTCCCAACGGCTTGGTTGGCTTCTCTGTTCAGACCTTGGACAGTTCCTCTTTAAAAATAATAATAATAAATTGGCTGCCCAGCGCATCTTTCTCCCTGGAGTAGTTAAGTTGTCCTTTCCATTGCCTGGTCCGCAAGTCATTCTACTTCTGGCGGCTTGGGAGGGATCATCGGAACGCAGCCGCATGAAGAGACCAAATGTAGTGGTAGAAACAGGACACTTGAGGCAGTAAATCCTTTCGACGTTGTTCTTAACAACCACCCTGTGAGGTATGCCAGTCTCAGGGACCATGCTTCTCTCGGGTCACCCATTTTTGGCTTTATGGCTGAGTGGAGATTTCAAGGCAAATCTCCTTCCGTTTGAGCCTGTATATTGCTGTGACGTGGGCCTCCAGTCACTATAAATGTAACTTGAAGAGAAACGAGGAATGAAGCCGTTCCTCGCCAATTAAACTTGTAATATAACTCAGCTACACATGAAATAGAGCCCCAGACCTCCCATCTGGAAATAAACAGTACACTCTGCTACCCCATTTGTTTGCATGGAAAGAGTAGATCGGAGACGAATAAAGGGAGAGCATGGTGGATCTCAGTAAAGGATCCCCCTTGCAAGTTGAAGTTAAAGGTGGGACCTGAATCTGGAAGGCAGACGGGGGGGGCAGGCACCGAAAAGTGTCCAAGACTCTCATTTACCCGGAGCTGCCGAATCCACTGCTGTCACTTGATCCCTGTGGATCCTTATCGGAGCTTCTTTGGTGCAGGGGTTGGGCAGAACGGATGCATAATGGGGCATTGCATATTCCCACACCAACCGAGGCCGGCACAGTACGCGAGATCACCTTGGAGGTACTGCGGTATGCCTCCCGTTTAAAAATCCATGGCACACTTCCCACGGGTTGTGTGTAGTGGCAGGCCCTCCCCCAAGCTGGCCTCGACCTCTCTGTATTGCACCATCCTGACCGGGCTGCAATAAAGAAGATATCAGAGAGCGTTAAGTGTCTTCCGAAGGACATCGTTTGGCTTTTTAAGTGTGCGCCCGCCTGCAATGAAGTGTTTCATTATTGTCTAAATGAATTTGTCGCTTCTGCCCCCCTCCCTCCCATGTGCACATTTTGTGGTAAGGCAGTTAATTCTGCATTTGGGTGCTTAGAAAATGGCGCTAGCGGTTCCTTAATTTTCCATCAGAAAGCCTAAATAAGGTTCACCTCTGTTTTAACAAATTCTTTAGGACCCTCACCACGGACAAGGTGTTTAAATCTTGCATATTGTAAAGCTGAGCCGAAATGTTGGTGGGCAGAGACGTCTGTGTTCGAAAGGCACTGTTCTCTCCCTCTTCGAGCTCCCTGCGTTCTCCTCCACAGCTCCTCATCGGTGTGCCGTTTGGAGAGTTGGGGGGTATATTTTCTTTTTATAGCACTAAAAGCACTGCTTGCTTTACTCCTCTTGGCCGGGGTTAGCTCTGCATTGCTGAAATCCATTCTGGCGTCTAAAGTGGCCATAAAACAGCTGATCGGCCTCCGGTGGCAGTTCCCGATTTTGTCCGTAGAGCTTGATCGTGCTTGAAAAAAAAAAAGCATGCCTGGGGAGTAAGTGAGGACACCGCGCGTGTTACCCTTCCTTCTGTTTCTGGAGAGTTGGCAGCAGGTCCTCCTGCAGACATTGCTAAACTGCCAGCACCCATGCACAGAGAGCAATCTGGGGGGGGGGGGAAGGCTGGAGTTTGCAAAATACCCCCCCCTTTTTTAAAAACAACAACAACCTCAAGGAGGATCTTAAGGACCAAATGGAGAACGCTGGCTTGTCATGAAGTTGTTGAGCATTTATTTGCAGGCTGGGGGAATAAAATTGAGGAGGGGGGGGACATAGCTGGCTGGCTGTAATTAAGAGGAGTACCCCAATATGATGTGGCCGTGGACCCACTTATATAAACCTAATTGCACTAATGGTGGTAGGAAGATGTTAGGAGTTTGAGTTCTGGGGTTAAAATGTTAGGACCAGCCTAGATGCCGTTTTTCACATGTGCTTCCGAGACCTGTATTTGCCATGCATGTGCCTCGAATGAGGAAAATCTCTCTGCCTGCGATCTGCCTTTCACCCATCTCTTGCTCTGAAGTCCCTTTTCCATGCAAACCAGCACGACTGCTAATTTGGCTGTAACTAATTTTTTTTTTTACTTAGGGCAATACCTAGGTGTGATCTCCTGTTTTTGAAGATGTCAAGGCTGTTAACCTGATGCCCCCTTTCTGCTCTTAAGCCATGGGGAGAGGTCTGTGGACCAGCCCTTAAAGCAAGCCACCGGACAATTCAGGTCCAAATCAGGCGATGGTCTTCAGAGAGCAGAGAAGCTATAAATTGGCATCTTTGGCACCTAGGTGTCATGTAGTTATCTGCATTTTCGCTCTTCCCTCGCGGCCAGTCAGGTTTCCAAATTCAAGGCCCACTTTTGGGACTATTTCTCTTAACCTTCCCATCTTTCCTTGCTGGAGGGTTGTACAGAACTCAAAAGCTTACTTTATTTCTAACCTTTTCATAATCCAGTAAAGTCATTACCCAAAACCAGGACATTTTTCTGCTTGTGGCTCACCTCTCCTGCGAGAGCCAGAGGAGGAGAAAAGAGTGCAGCTGACTGCAGGGAAGAAAGCCATCAAAGAAGGCATGAGGCATACCCTCTTTTGTGTGTTAATGGAAGTTCTTGCCAAGATCCATGTACATTTCATGAGGAACGGATAGATGTAAAAACTTTGAGTTTGGAGGCCGAGGCTTTGGAACTCCCAGACTGTGGAACTCCCTCCCACTGGAGGCCAGTCGGGTCCCATCTTAGCTGTCCTTCCACAAGCATCTGAAGACCTCTCTCTTCAGGCAAGCTTTCCCAGAGTTGACTGGCGGCCAGAGTGGGGTTTTTGAATGGATGGTTGTGCCCTTGTTGCTTTGAGTGTGTGTTTTGGTGTTGATTTTTTTAGTGCGATACTCGTTTTAATCCCTCTTCACATTTGTATACTTACTGCTTTTAGCTTTTAAATATTGTCTTTTATTGATGTAAGGACGCCTTGGGTCCTTTGAAGGAGAAAGATGGGGTAGAAATATTTTAAATAAATAAATACGTTGAGAAACGATTCCAACTACCCTGAGGTTTGGTTTGGTCTGGTGTTCTGGAGCTCCGTGGAACTACGCCTTTACCTACAAAACCAGGTTGGTAGATACTAAAACAGGACTTCATCTCTGTGTTTTGTACTGCTGCTTTGCTGTTTGTTTTATATTGCTCTGTAATGAAATAACTAAGCAAGTTCAAACTAAATTAAAAATGGATCGGAATGACACTAAACTGGGAGTGCGTGGGAGTCTTCCTGAACCAAAGAATTTCAAGAGGTGGTTTTATCTTAGCGGTAGAATCAGGACTTGGCATTGAATTTAAGGAAACGTGTGGTTCCTGAGCTTATTTCCATCGGTTCTGCTCCCAGTATAAATAGGGTTCCTTATCACCAACACACACAAGTCTTTGAAGAATTTTTTTAAAGTTTTCAGTTAAATTTTTTATTATTTTTATTATTGTCGTGGAATGTCTGTGCTGAGGATGCAGAAGAGAAATTTAGTTTGCAGCTTGGAAACTGCTTAGGGAAGAACACAGAAATGATGTGTTAGGAATAATGTGTGGCCTTAATTTGTGGATGCCTTTTGAATAATGAGTGGGGGAATGATTTTGCATTTTACATTTAGCTTAATGGGAGCCGTGCTGGTCAATATTGGTGCATAAGGATTAGCAAGTTTGGACTGACTTCATTATTCTTGTGCCATTATTTCATTATTGTTTCTTTTCAGTGATCACAGATGAGGAGATGTTTAAAGCTTTGCAGTGAAGTGAGCAATGGTTTACAGCCCTAGAAGGTGTTATGTATGGTAATTTTGCATACTGTGTGTGGTTCGATTTAAAATGTAATGGTTAAACATTGTCATCAATACAGAAAGTTATAGATTATCCACTAATAATTATTAAGTTTTAGAACTCAAAATTAGCAAAACAAATTAAGTATATAAGCTAGCTGGTAACTTCAGATTCGTAAACCCATTATCTTCAGTTAGTAATTTCTATTTTCCTCGTTATCTCTGATCTATTCCCAAGGGGTTGAATAGGTCAGATCTATTCACCCACTTGGGAATAGATCAGAGTTTAGGAGCTTCCTTTGTTCTGCAAGTAGTCCAGATGTGAATTTTAATTTTGATTCATTTTTACTTGCATCGTAGAAGACTCTTGCTGTGCCCGCTAAGCCAAGAGGTGCTTCACAAATCAACCGTACCCTTATGAAGCACACACATTTTATTATTTATCTAATATATTTCTCTTATCACGTCTCCCACAAATCTCAAGACAAGTTAAAGGTGGTTGGGTGGGCAGACCCGTAACATGAGATGTTTAAAAATTCATTCACAAATCATAGTATGTATGTAAGAATGATGAGAATTCAAGTGTACAGTTGTTTAAAATCAGATTGTGAAATCTCAGTCATACCAAATTGGAAAATACCTTTTTTTAAAAAAAAGGAAATCTTTGGTTTCTGAAATTCCAGAAGAGATGGGCACTGGGGTTATTCTAAAAATTACTGAACAATATGGATGCAGTGGTGGAGAATATGGCATCTCATGTACTCATATACAGTGCTTTTCTAAATATGGCAAAATGGAGCTGCATGTTATTCCTGGCTTTGAGAGCCTAAGGTGCAATATGCAGGCAGAGAGGCTGTCCCACATAATCTAGGTCTTCCCTATATAGGACTGTCATTCCAAGGAGATCTGAACGGACGTGTGAAACGCTAGAAGCTCAGTCATGATGACTTTCTTGCAGAGACTGCATTCTGTTGCTCCTAAGGTAAACTCCTAGCAATAGGGGGAAATGATGCATAAAACTGAGAAAAGGCACCAGGGCCCTGAGCATCCTGGGACAGATGCTAGGGTCTAATGGAGGGCAAATCACCTAAGCCTTGTGTTGTTGCCTGTGTAGGAGAAGATGGCTGGGTTGAGCTACGGGGCAACTTGTATGGCTGATCCATGCAAGGAGCCCCTTGTTGCTGCCACGTAAACCCAGAAGGCTTGCTTCCACCCCAAAACTAAGAATATGGCATTTGAATAATACAGTGGCGCCTCGCTAGACAGTTACCCCGCATGACAGTTTTTTTTGCTAGACATTGACTTTTTGCGATCGCTATAGCGATTCGCAAAACAGTGATTCCTATGGGGGAATTTCGCTGGACAGTGTTTTGTCCCTGCTTTGCAAACCGATTTTCACTAGACAATGATTTGCTTTTCGCTAGACAATGATTTAGCTAGACAGTGATTTCAGTGGAGCGGATTATCATCGTCTAGCGAGGCACCACTGGTAAATAATAAAAACCCTATGCCCTCAAGTCAGTTCGGACTTACGGCAAGGAACTCATTATACTTCTCACCAGACAGGTGGATTGGCTATCATTGTTGGTCCGATTGTGCAAGTATTTTGTTGTGTTAAGTGTTTTCAAACTACTATATTGTGGGTTGCCAGGAGACCTGGGGGGCGGAAAATATAGGGAAGCGCTTTCTAGTTTCCTCTAATGGCAAATTCTGATGTTGGCAATATGTATTTATAAAAATACAAAAGGCAGGACCACAGAATGCTTCCTTTACTTAGGATTGATTGAGAGAACAGCGTAAAACCTGAGAAAACATCATGTCAAAGTGCCTCTAAAAGGCCCTTCACAAAAGTAATGGCCTAAGGGGGAAACAGGAGACTTTGACACCTTTGGGGACTAACATTTATTATGCCCAACAAAACTTGCTAGTCTTAAAGATGCCACCAGAAAATTGTTGTTTTGTCTTGAAACAAAAACACTTGAATGTGTGTATGTGAAAATAGCTAGGTCTTAACACTTTACACCTGAAGTTTTAATTACTAGTTATACCACTCGTTGCCCAAAACATAACCTTTACAATTACCTTATTTTTCCGTGTATAAGATGCCTCCATGTATAAGACGCCCCCCTTTCTAACCCAAAATTAAGAAATCTAAGTGGGGCTTAGCAAGTGGAGGGGGAAACAGGGATCAAAGTCCTGTAGGATAGCTTTGATCCCTGCTTTCCCCTCCACTTGTTTTTTTCTCTCCTCAGCTTACTTCCATGTATAAGAAGACCCTCAATTTCTAGTCTAAATATTTTAGACAAAAGTATAGTTTTATACATGCAAAAATATGGTACATGAACAGTAATTCATTCTTTCCAAGCTCTGTTTTGTTGCATGGAAGTAATACCCATTTACGTTGTGTCATATAAGTGAACATGTCAACCCCTGTGGAGAAATAAAGCCTTTTTAAGTTGCGGGGTGAGAAAGATAAGCGTGTGCTTCACCTAGTGTGTTGCCATCTGATAAGAACCCAGAGCTGGTCTTTGGTTTTCTTTGTGTATGCATAGAGCTGCGTTGCACGCACGGAGGTGGCTGGATCCAAAGGGTCTGTTCTAAAAGGCCCTTCCATTCTTCTAATAGCCGTGGACTGTCGTTTGTACATCCCTGTACAAATACAGCAAAATCTCTGCTAGTGTAGTTATATAACCAAACAGAGATGCGGAAGTTTCTGAAAAGAACAAAAATCCAAGAGAATTTGCACCAGAGGAAGAGATCTCGTAACGAGACGCAATTACTTGCACCCTGGTGTACATCCAAGTTGGTAAAATCGGCCAGAACTTGTACTTGAAAATATCTCTATTTAACAATGTCAAAAGAGCCAACTAGAAGTGGAGCAGCAGTTCGCTTAACCATGACTGGTACCCCGGATCTGATGTGGGTTTCTAAGGGTTATCAATCAGTTTAGCAATAGTGGCCAAAATACTGTAAAATAAAACATATGGAAACTTGCCCAGGATGTCCAGTGTCATTGCATTTTAATTTCAGAAGACGAAACTTTAAAAAAAAAAAAACCCAGCTGTTTTAAATGGAAACTGCGGAGGAGGGTGTCAGAATTAAAGCTCTTTGAGATGTTTAGAGTGTGCCATGGTGACAGATTTCACTGGGAAACTGAATGTCTTCGCAGCCCAGATTACAGCACCTCTTGAGGTCAGGAAAGGTATGAGCAATTCCAAGGGGATCAGTGAAGACTCCATCAGCAGGAGCAGTATACAGTATCCCTGAATACCAATTACTGTTTTGCCGCATTTCTTGCGGCCTTCCTGAAAGGATCGGAGGGATCCCTGTGGGGAAGATGGCGTGCCGGACAAGATGGAGTCTCATAGGCCAAGTTGAAGTAGATGATGCTTCTTTTCAAAAAGGTACACGCAGAGGCAGCCTTTATAGATCTCCAAGCTTGGTGCTACACAGTTTTATTCCCTAGGGATGTATTATTATTTTTTTAATAAAAGGGAACGCAATTTGAAATTGACCTCAAATCTTCCTTTAAATCAATTAAATAGGAGATCTTCCGGAGGTGGAGGCAGTGCTTCTTCTGGGATTTGATAGGAGGGGTCTAGAGGTACAGGACACTGGGCGTCCGTGATTGGCTGAGGTGAGAGAGACTCGCTTGGGTTAGGACACAGATCTCCGTGGATTTCTCCAAACCCGTTGGGTGGAGGAGGCGGATCCAGTGGTCCCGGAGCGTCCGGCTGCAAAGGGACCTCGACCAAGCCGCTTGGTTCCTCCGAGAGGGTGGTTTGCATGCTCGCTGAAGAATCAGAGTTCCCCGTCGTGGTGGGGCAGGACTCTGTCTCCTGGGAGCCCGGCGGTCCAGGGGGCAGCTCCAGATTCTGCTCCGAGGCCGACGAGGGCCCCTCGGCATTTTCCAGCAGCTCCGTATCCTTGTTCAGCTTCCAGGGAAGGAGAGAAAGCACCGAGACCCGCTTCGGCCCTTGGCCGGATTCTTTCTCTGCACTCACGTCCGGCAGGTCTCCGTCGGCGAACGGAGAGCGTCCGGCCCAGTGGGGGAGAGGCGAAGCGGCCCTTTTCCACCGCCTCCACAAGAAGATGCCGACAATAACCACGATCATGACAATCAGGGTGACCCCAATGATCACGGCGGCGATCAAGTGCCCGTCGTGAGACGCCGGCGCCTCTGTTCTCGGGTGGCTGGGCTCCGTGGTGAACAATTCCCTGTTGTTTTTGGCGGAGTCGTCCGATTCGCTGGGCGGAGGCGTCCACGGCTGGGTCCGGATGTCAGCTCTAGTGATAGGCAGCTTCGCTGGAGGGGGGGTAGAGGCTGGCAGCCCTTTCGTCTCTGCGGAGATGATGTTCCGGGGCAGTTGTGCCCAGAGGACAAGGAGGAGGGCAGGGTGGGTCTCCATGGCTCTCTCGGCACTCTAATTCCGTGGCACTAAAGAGAATAAAGGGCCGTTAGGTCTCTTTGAGTGCAGGATCCTACTTCCTAAGAGCACAAGTTTTGCTTGTGGCTACAGTATGGGCAGATACCAGCACCTTCCCTGGGGAAACAAAACCTAAAACTGCTTTTATTTCGTTTCAAGATTACATTTTAGATTTCTCTTCGGGACAGAATATCTATTGCTTCTCTCATTTTGAAAGTGCTTTTAATCTGTCTTTCAACCTAACGTACCAGAAACATTAAACAACATTTGGACCCAAATATTCCACAAATCATCGTCCTCGTAGAACTGCTGGAAAAGGGACCCTATGGATCGGGTCCAGACCCCGTCAGTGAAGTGACCGTGGCGGGAACTGAACTCCCAACCTAAACATGTAAAACATCGTTAATAATAACTTTGCAAGGCAGCATAAAGTGATAGGATAAGCAGAGTACCACACGTATCATTTTTTAAAAGACACAAAGCCTTTAAAATGAATAATATAAATTAATCTGAAAAAGTCCAGCTCTTGATACCTCTCCATGTAGCATCTGTCAATCATGGGAGAGAGGAGAGACCAAATATTGACCTCAGTGCATGATCGGTGTATTTGTGTGGGCGTGGGCAATATATCCCAAGGACCAATCCTTGCACAAAGGCTTGTTTTTTGTGCCGGTGATTGCCGGGAAGGGATGAATATTAGCAATCAAAGGGCCTCAAAGCAGCTCCTCTTATATTGCTCCCCCAGGCCCCGTTCAAACCCTGTCGCGTCGCGGTTCCAAAGAAGCAAGCCTAGACTGCAGAATTTTGCAACTTCTGTCTTTGCGTTGTGTCTGATTAATCTGTTTACAACCGTCCAGTGCAGGAAAATGAGACAGATTCCCCTCCCTGTTAACGGACTGGTTGAAAGGAAGTATGAGGCCGTGCGGTGTTTTACACAGTGAAATGTAACTGGCAAAGTAAAAAATATTACAGTATATATATTTGTGGGGTGGCAAGAGCTGCATGCAGCTGTGGACTACATGATATCCGTTGCTGGACTGGGTTCTTAGAGGCACAGACAGAGTCAACAAGCAGTGCAGTAAACTTCCTTCCTTCCTTCCTTCCTTCCTACCTACCTACCTACGTACCTACCTACCTACCTACCTACCCACCCCACCTTTCTCTTTAAAAAGGACCAAAGGCATCTCACAAAACAATATTTAAAGCTAAAACAGTGAGTATACAAGGTGACTTGCCTCATTAAAAGACAATATTTAAAACTAAGTATATGAGTATAAAAAGGCTGCTTGCATCATTAAAAGATACAGTAATAGTAAAGCTAGAAATAGAAAATATACAGATATTTAAAACGAACAAATACCACTGTGAGAAACGGTGAAGAAAAGCGACAGCAAAAAAAAAACATATTCAGAGCATTAAAGTAAAATAATCCATCTTTAAAATCCCCCATCAGACAGCTGGCCATTGAGGGAAAGCTTGCCTGACAACGGTGAAGAAAAGCGACAGCAAAAAAACATATTCAGAGCATTAAAGTAAAATAATCCATCTTTAAAATCCCCCATCAGACAGCTGGTCATTGAGGGAAAGCTTGCCTGATGAGAAAGGTGTTTTAGCTGCTTGGGGAAGGACAGCAAAGATGGGGCCTGGCTGGCCTCCAGCGGGAGGGAGTTCCAGAGTCTCTGGGAGCAGCCACAGAGAAGTACGCTGATACGCTGTCACACTAGCTAAAGTCTTACACTCTTTTTTTAAAATCGCGTCATAAAACCCAGGCAAATAAACAGAAATATTTTCTCATTGTTATGTAATCAGATACCCACTGCTAATAAAGCAGAGGTTTCACTAAAGGAATAGTGGGGGTGAATGACTCCAGATAGGCAAAAAAATAATTACATTCATGCATTTTGTTTCTGTAACCAGAAAGCAAATTTGCAAGGAGGTAGTTTTCTTTGGAAATGGTTTGGTTTGCCGCAGGTGATAAGAAATGGAAGCACTACAACATCTGTAGGTTAACTTGCTCTTTAGCCTGAATATTTGATTTCGGACGGATTAGTGTTTTTCCATTTCTCAGATACTCGGCATGTACTTAGTTATTTCAGTTTGACTCCAGGCATACAAAGTGCTGACCATTAATTCACATGTCCTTTGAAAGATTTTATGTTAAAAAAAAAAAGTAAAATGTTTTGTATAAGTAAATAAGTGGGCCTGTATGAATTCTGAAAATGCTGCCATCGTGCATTTAATGCATGAATTGATATCTGCCATTTTTCCGTCTGGAGTATTGCCAATGTGCATATAACATTGCCTCATTGTGAGCTGATCTTAATTTGAATTCCTGGGATAGCTGTTTTTTTGAGAAAAGATCAGATCACAAAGCTGAACTGTTAATCAGACTTCAATAACAGCTTTTGGGGCGGGGGAAGCTACCTTGATTTTAGTGCATTTTGCATGAGGAAGGGAGTCCAAAGAACTTTTAAGCATTCTAAAGCACACTCCTAGAATTTAGAATATTCCGCACCACCTTTGCTGGTTTTATTTGAGAGAGAAGCAAAAGCGATTAAAATGGAAGAAACATAATTAAGCCAGTCTTACCTGCTTGCTATTGCCTCTTGTACTGACCAGCTTCTTGCTTGTAGGTTTCACATTTTAATGTTATAAAAGCAGGGAAGTGAGAGCGCAGCAAATACATTTGAAGTGTGGGGTGGTTCACACATTTCAAAAGAAACTTATTTTGACATAGAGGGGAAGTTTATCAACACTAGTGCAGGAAGCACCAAGAAATGAGAAGTGATTAAGGACAGGGGCATCCTCTTTTGCACACAAAGGCTATAGTTAGGGTGTCAGTTCTTGTTACAAGTGGTTTCTGTTCTTGACAGCACATCATGGAATTTGAGTGTTACAAGTGGTTTCTGTTCTTGACAGCAAGCACATCATGGAATTTGATAGACGTGAGAGCTTTCCTTAGCGTGAACATCTGACCCCCGTCTCTCGACAAAGAAAACATGGCGGATTAAATGTTCAATATGTTAACTTAGTCATGTGTGTCTCCATTGACTTTTCTTGTGGACAGCTAGAGATATGATGATTGGTTGGATAGACTTTAACAGAAGATTATAGTGGAAATCAAGATCTGTTTTTGGTCCAGTATAGATGCAGTGGTTCTATCTCTTAAGCTTACTGTGAAGATACGTGGTTTCTTTGGGGCAGATTCTAATCTGGATCTTAATTATTCCACATGACATCCACGTTAATAGTTGTCAGTGGCTGGAATATAACCTGGTGGCCAACCTTCTGCCATTCAGCCTCTCCTGACTGGTCTGATACGGGATGTTGAGTATGCCACCAAGGCTCTACTTGATGTCTTACTAGATTAGCAGTACTTGCCAATGTTGCACACTGCCGGCAAAACGGAAGCAACTTTCCATGGGTCCAGAGAAGCAGGTGGCTTTCCATGAAATTGTATTCTTAATAAAATGAGCCAATCTGGTTTCATCTGCCACAAGATTCTCTGTTGTGTTTGCTGCCACAAACTAACAACCTGGACAAACATTACCTCCAGCTCCTAATCCTGCCCTTCTTGAGTGCTTGGGACAGCAATGGCAGCTGTCTCTAACTTCCCCCTATTTGATCAGCTCGACTGAAAGTGAGTTTGCTCTCCCCAGGATGATGGAGAGGTCAAGGTGGAAGTCAACGCTTTCAGCCTTTCTGGCCATCTTTTTTTTCTTCCAGGAGCAATCGTGGCTTCCGCCACTCCATCACCCCTGCCGATGGCGCCCAATCGGTTGGCTGCCCATGTCGCATAACGTAGATGTAATTTGGCTCATTAAGCCTGTGTCCGTTCATTATTTCCCCAAAGGTCCCCAGCCGTTCTGTGGGGCTCGCCCTCCTCGGCTGCTGAGTTGCATCGAGATAAGNGTGGCTTCCGCCACTCCATCACCCCCGCCGATGGCGCCCAATCGGTTGGCTGACCGTGTCGCATAATGTAGATGCAATTTGGCTCATTAAGCCTGTCCCCAGCCATTCTGTGGGGCTCGCCCTCCTTGGCTGCTGAGCTGCATTGAGAGAAGAGCTGAAAGTCGTTCCCCGCGCCGCCTCCCCCCCCTCCGCGACAAGCCCTTGCCTGATGTGTTTCCATATGAGCAATTTCGGTAGTGGCGGTTGGCATCGGAGGAAACTGTGAACAGGAAGTGCTGTGTTCCTGTGTGGTTGCGTGTGGGTGTTGTGTAGCTCCAAGCTCTTCCTCCCCCCCTCCCGAGCTCAGCTGCTGTTTTACTTCCAAAGAAAATTTGCTTCCCCATTTACTGGTTTGCTTTTTTTCTTTCTTTCTCTCTCTCTCTCTCTTTTTTGCTCTTGATCGTAAGAGGTGTTGCCAGATGGCTTGATGTCTTTTTTAAAAGCATGGCTAGACCATAGCTTGAGATAAAAGTTCCTTTTTTGGGGGGGCGGGGGATGGCATCTCCCAGGATCCCCAAGCCAACAAGGACGATGGAAGCAATTGTACAAAAAAAAAGAGTAACCCTTCTTCCCTCCGGGCTGTGCTTGCATGCTCCATGCAGAGTCAATTTGTGAAAGGAAGGATGAGGGAAAGAGCTTTGCTTTCTCTTGCCCAAACTCTCAGCTAAGATGTGCTGCATAGAAACACGGCCAAGGGCAAATGTTAATTAGGTTGGAAGCTAGCCTTGTCTGGCTCATGGTGTTTGGCTGGATCCCTACCATGACCGTAACACTTTCTGTTACAGGGGGCTTTGCTCCTTAGTGTAGAGAGCGGGTTCCTTAGCATCCTTTTGGAGTTATAGAATTCTAGAGTTGGGAAAGATTACAAGGGTCCTTCACTCCAACCTCCAGCTAGTGCAGGTAACCCACAGCAGGTGTACCCAGTCTGCTGCTTTATAGCAGTGATTCTCAACCTTGGGTCCCTAGATGTTCTTGGACTACAACTCCCAGAAATCCGGGCCAGGACAGCTAGTAGCTAACGTTTCTGGGAGTTTTAGTCCAAGAACATTTGTAGACACAGCGTTGGGAACCACTGGCTGATAGTGTTAGGTTTCCAGACTCTCGGTTGCCTCAACGGGAGTCCGAACAAAGTAAATGAGGTCCTTCTCTTGATCTGGTCGCTTAATTCTTTTCCCTGCTGTTTACTGTTCCATAAACTTTTTATTGTTGCTCCATCACTCTGTTGACTCTTGTTGTGGCTTACTTAGGTTTATGGAAGTATTTATTTAAACTATTTTTTGCCTTGCCTTTCTCTTTAAAAGGACCCAAGGCAGGTTGCATCAATAAAATGCAGCATTTAAAGCTAAAAACGGTACATGTACAAATGTTAGGAGGAATCAAACAAATACCGCACAAAAATGGTAAACAAAATCAACACCGAAAACACATTCAGAGCAGTAAGGTACAATAGTCCCTTCAAAAACCCCACTGGGGCAGCCCAGTCACTCCGTTAAAACGTCGTCATTAAGAGTTATAGCTCATCATTGTGCCTCTCTCTGTTAATCTCATGCCCTGCCTCTTTGTGGAACTACAGCCTCCTTCCTCTCCGTCGATCACTGGCATAATGGAGTTTGTAGTACGAGGACATTAGGTGGAGTGAGGCTGATCCACACCAACTCTCTGTGGCTCTCCAGTCTTCCCAGACCTAAGTAGAAGATGCAGAGCGATCCGAAGTGTAATCTGTTGCTTGCAAAGTATGTGCATTGCCCTGAACTAGAGATCTTTCCCTCAAACTGGGTGCCTTCTCCAGATTTGCTTAAACAGACACGCCAAGAAGCCTTGTGTCGGCATTTCAGTAAACCAGAGCAGAAGCTCCATTAGTTACCCACCCTGTGAGGAAACACTTGGATGTCAGTGGCCTGTGGATGCAAGTCTAGGTGAAAGCCTGCATTTCCTGAACGTCTGGAATCCTTCTCTTCTCTCTTCCCTCAAACTGGGTGCCTTCTCCAGATTTGCTTAAACAGACACGCCAAGAAGCCTTGTGTCGGCATTTCAGTAAACCAGAGCAGAAGCTCCATTAGTTACCCACCCTGTGAGGAAACACTTGGATGTCAGTGGCCTGTGGATGCAAGTCTAGGTGAAAGCCTGCATTTCCTGAACGTCTGGAATCCTTCTCTTCTCTCCTCAATTGCGATGTCAGTGGCCTGTGGATGCAAGTCTAGATGAAAGCCTGCATTTCCTGAACATCTGGAATCCTTCTCTTCTCTTCTCTCCTCAATTTGCGATCGCAAAACGATGTTTTAATGGGGTTTTTCCGCTTTGCGACGATCAGTTCCCTGCTTTGGGAACCAACTGTTTGCATTACGATGATCAAAACAGCGGATTGTCGGGTTTTCAAAATGGCTGCCAGCTGCTCAAGATGGCTCCCCGCTGTTTTTAGGAGCCATTTTTCGCTTAACAGGCACCTAAAAATTGCCGCCGTATGGAGGATCTTTGCTGGGCGAGCAGGTATTCAGCCCATTGGAACGCATTGAACGGTTTTCAGTGCATTTCAATGGGCTTTTTAATTTCGCTTGACGACGTTTTCGCCCTACAGCGATTTCGCTGGACCGTCGTCAAGTGAGGCACTACTGTATATCCATTAGCAGCCTCAGAAGCTTGCTATTCATATGCAGGCATTTCTCTAGACAGACTTGTCTTTATTATAGGGTTGCCAACAGGGATTTCTTGCTGTTCGGGGAGTACCCTTCTGGCTCACTTGGCAGTTTGTTGAAGATTATTCAAACAGTACTTCTAATGGGGTAGGGGAAAGCATACCTAATGTGGTTCAACCTGTCTCAAGACTGGACCCTAACCAACCTGGTTGGGTTACACTATCACGTAGAAAGTCTCTTCCAGAGCAGGATCCTGGTACGTCAAACACATCCAGCTGGTGGTGGATTAATCACAAGGCTAAGCAGGCAACATTAGAAAGTCCCAGCCAGGTTACCCAGCCTTGTCCTTATTCCTGTGTTTTCTCTCTTCTCCCGGGGTGGGAAATCGCCTATCCCATCCAATGGGGTAAGTTTTGTTTTGTCAAATTCTGCACAGAGAAGGGTCAACACGAGACCTCCATGCCAACTAGATTTTCCACCAGGACCTCTCCTCCCGTGTGGCCTCTGACCACAGATACCTCCTCACTGTGAGGTGTCTTCCTATCCATTTTGCAAGCAGAGGGGGTTAAAAAAAACGATGCCTGTGAATTTAGCTTGCATGGGAGTGAGCTCTGTTCAAAATAAAGTTTGCAGCTAGGGAATAGCAGCTGCTCCTTCTCCATGAAAAGGGGAGGAAAAAGTGACCACCCCAGGAGGAAAGACATCTTTCCAAGCTGAGAGCTCTGTCAGCATGAAGAAGTCGGAAATGTTTCATGCGCTGCCGAATATCTGAGGCGTGGGGCGGGAAGAAACAGATGGGGATGAGGCAATGGCTGTGTTTGGGTGGGACTCCTCGGCGCAAATGCTGGCAGAGCAGAAAGCATGCTCCGTGGGCCAGCTGTGACCCCCCCACCCACACACTCCCACAAAGGGTGCTTAACATAACATGTCCCTAACCGCCCCCCCTCCATCCTTTCACTTCCTTTTCATTCCAATGTTATGTCGGCATTCTGGTGGTCCTCCAACAGGATCGTCCGAATTCTCTTTTTTTCCTTTCATTTTCGGATTTTTCAATCTTTCTTCCCCCCTAAACTGCTGTGAGAGTTCTCTTTGGGTCGGAATAAGAGAGATACCATTTCATGACAAATCGAAACGGTGCACCTGTAAATTCAAGTCCGTCCCCCCAGATCTGAATTCAGTTGCCAGTCTTAGCTGGAGTAGCCCCATCGAATCAGTGTGGTTTTATGTACATGTTGGCTTTACTGTTCAGTTGATTTATTTTAGTTGGGAGTGGTGGTTGGTCTTGGGTTTTGAAGTTCCGTGTCTGAATTGGATTGCACAGCAACATAGCTCAGTGGTTTGGCCATCATCTGCTTGCCGGAGCCAAAGGCTGGGAGTTTCACTCCCACTATGTCTCCTTGATACCCAAAGCATCCTAATCTACTTCCCCCACCAGGTGATTTAAAAAGCGCCAAGCCTTGGACTGTGCTGTTGTTTTGGACTTTGAAAGGCCTCGAAGAAGTCAAAGATGCCTGCTGTAAACCCTGTGAATTTGCTAGATGTAGGCATTGCGAAGGCATCTTGTATCGAACATGGAGTGTGCTCTTACTCCCTTTGAAAGCTGGTATTCTGTGACCTGGACAGACTGGTTGCTCGACATATGCAGAAATGCGGAGCATTAAATTCCGGCTCATCTCTCCAACAGAGCTGTGGCCCATTTCCTCCCTGTTCTGCTTTTAGGATTCAGCAGATGCGGTCTGCATGCCTGCAGTCTGATACTTATGGCCGTGCAGGTGAGGAGCGTGCATTTTCAATTAAAAATGAAAGCGCCCAATCTCCAAATGCCCCCATCTGCCACAAACATATACCATCCTCTCTTCCCCTCCTTCTGCTTACCTGGGTCACAAATAGGTAGGAAAAGCCCTGTTGGAGCTGAACAGAGGCCTGACCCTGCCTCTTGTCTACCTGGCCATGGCCTCTGCCGAGGTCTTGCTACTGTTACCGAGTAAGACTGAAAGGGGTTTAGCCAACAACGGGAGTGTGAATGGGCTCCGGTACAAGCCCACCTTGAGACCCGTCTCTTTTCCGTTCCTGTTTGAAACAGAAGAACAATGGAAAACGTGGAACTCCCACTTGCAGATCAAGGCTAGTCACTAACGGTAAGCTTTGGTTACTCCGAACAACGTATGGCTTTGGGCGTAATTCATATTGGAGATGGGGGCCTCCTATTCTGGCTTATAAACGAAGAAACTCAGGGAGGGAATTGCCTACTTAAAGAGGAGAACTTTGCTTAGAGCTGAATGAGCATTTTACTAAATCAGAGCTAGGAAGATGATTGGCCTGGCTGGGCTTAAAGGTCTCTGCGTCGTGTGTTGGTAGGTGGCCGGATGTTGCTGGCTCCCAGCTGTTCAACAATCACAGCAAAAGAATGTCCCTCCCATCTCAAATTGATACTGCTGAAGTTAAGTTTTCTGGAGTAGATATTTGTGTAAAAGGAGTTTGAATGTTATTCAGGCTTAGTACTCTGAACAGGATTTTCTGACTCAGAATTAGTCCCTTAAATATATTTCCTTAGCTGGCTGGATAGCTCAGTGATTCAGGTCTCCGAACACGGAGCCAGAAGTTGGGAGTTTGATTCCCCCACTGCTGTGCCTCCAGAGGAGAAAAGCCAGCCTGGGTGGCCTTGGGCAAGCTGCACAGTCCCAGGGATACCCCCGCAGAAGAAGGGAATGGTCAACCACCTCTGAGTATTTTTTACCTGGAAACCCCTAGGGGAAAAAAAAATCACCATGAGTCAGAACTGACTTGACAGCACTTGATGATGATGATGATGATGTATTTCTTTGCCCTGGTTTTGCCTGGTGCGTGTCAGGATTCTAGTACAAAAACAAGCTAGATCCCATAAGCTTGAAATCTGCCAGCCCCTGCGGGCCAGCTTTGATTAGCAGCTGATCCTCCTATAAAATTGTCATTGTTGAAAGCTTTACCATAATCTGAACTCGGAAGAAAGTAGGTCTGGTTTTCTTTTCCCGTAAATATGAAACTCAGTAAGCTTGCTTTTGTCTTATATTATTTACAAGGAACAGAGTTACAGAGAATGAAACTGTACCTTGGCTATTTCAAGTTCATATTGGATGGGGTTCGTTCTGGAGAAAGGTTGCACCCCGTGTTAATGTGGTTGGGAGGGAGGAAAATGCCGTGTGGACAGTCCATTCCCCCCCCCCTTTTTTTGCTAATACAAATTCTGATTAGGCTTGATGGAGTTCCACCCCAAGCACAGGACGAAACAAAAGGAAAAAGGTGATTGATGCAGAAACAGGCTCTCGATTGTGGGTCGAGGAGTGTTCAAGTCAACAGAAAAGAGTGTGGGAGATCTTTGTTCTTCTGCTTGACAGAGGCTTCCTGGGAAGTCTGCCAGAAAAACAGACCCAACGATCCTGCGGGGCTGATCAGCAGCTCAGAAAAGTACTTTAGCCTCCTCCATCAAGCAAGGAGGGCATTCTGCCTGTTTGTCCAGGCAGAATACAGATGGGTGGGATGGGAAAGCAGGCAGGTGGAAACTTGTACCTTCGTGGAGGTCATGCTTTCCCACACTGAGATTTACTGCTTTAGTCCAGGTTGGATAAACAGGTGTTGGATCTGTACATTTTTCAAGCTCCGGTGGGCAGGCACTGACTCTCCCGGCCCCAGCGTTTGTTCCGTTTTCCCACTCAAATCTGCTGTTCCCCTTTTTCTTTCTTTCTTTCTTTCTTTCTTTCTTTCTTTCTTTCTTATGTGCATTAACATTTTGGATCTTCCACTCTCTCTCTCTCTCTTTCTTTCTTTCTGCTTATGTGCATTAACATTTTGGATCTTCCGTAAAGCCGTCTCCGAGTAGCTGTGGAGACGGATTGTTTTCTGGAGGAAGACGGACGCTTACAATAACAGCGCGTCGTGTCTGCCACTTTGAAAAAGTATTGTATGCCCTCAAGCTTAGGTTCTGCTCCAGATGTTTTTGCAGCTGGAAAATGAAGGTGGGGGGTGAAAGAAAAAGTCCTGTGTTGCTAGCAGACATCCAATGTTCAATTTAACCCTCTAGAATGCAGTACACCTTCACATTCTCCCCCCTTGGGTAGTTGAATGATGAGTGCTGTCCTCTGAAGAGGCCGGCCACAGAGACTGGCAAAACGTTAGGAAGAACAACCTTCAGAACACGGCCAAAGAGCCCGAAAAACCCACAACAACCTAGATCTCAGTGTTGACTATAGTACTGCTGGGTCGTTTTATTGAGGTCTCCTTGGCCAACATCTCCTCGTGCATCTGCCTCTCCAGCGTCTTCCTAGCATCTGCTCCAGTTTTCCCAGGTCCTGGAGTCATGTTCTCCGACCTCAGGCTTTGTCTGAAAGGGGCCGTTCCTGTCGTTTGGCTGGGCGTCCTCTGTAGCGTTTCCAGCCCGCTGGGCCACAAGCTGCTAGCGCTGAGAAAATCTCCGTTGGTCCTGGGGAGACGTTTGCTCCGCTGCCGCCTCTTGACGTAGGATAACTTGGTGGCCATCACAGCCACAGCCGAGAGCAAGCACACAGAAAGGAACGCCAGCACCCCTATTACGATGAGGCAAATCAGCAGGAGCTTTTTGCTCCTCTCTTCACAGAGTTCAGCTTGAGTCTGTGGCTCATCGAGAGCCTCCTTGGTACCGGTTACGGTGAAAGAAGATGGCGGCACGTCTGGGGGAACGGTTGAGTCCACTGGCGGGGATGTGGATGTTTCTGATAAGGGGGACTTAGAGGTAGTTAGCTGCATCACAGGGGTGGTTGTGTGTACCTTGGGTGTGGATCCAAAGGTCGCGATCTGCGTCGTCGCCTGTGAAGCCGTTGTCGTAGGAATTGTGGTTGTATCTGTTGGGTTTTGTGTTGTTGGCTTCTGAGTAGTGAGAATGGAGGGGCTTTGAGTTGTTGTCAAAGCATTCTCAGTAGTGGTTGTTCCTACTTGTAAGCAAGAAGACAGGATGGTCCCCAGAAAGAGACCCAAGAATATGCGAGGCTTGCCCACCATTTTCACGTTTATGGGATGTCTTTCTCCTGCAAGAAAAGTAAAACGATACATTTACACCTGCAGAATCACTGTTTATCAGCATATTCAAATTTATTAGGGCTGTGTCTCCTTCTCGTCTATTACAGTTCTTGATTTTTTGAGGGGGGTAAATAAATGCCGTATTTAAAAAACAGAAAACTAACAAACTCAGTGCAACTGCTTTAAAAGTTTAATCTGATTTTAAGGCCTGAGTATAGTGGTTTCCTCTGAGTTGAACACAGATTGAAGGCTAATCACTCATCATTCATGTTTTGTCTTCTGCAGCCTTGTAGATATTGGGTAAATATAGTTTCTTTCCGTTATTCATAGCATCTTGTGTTCTGTTAAAATTGGAATGGATAAATGTCATCATGGCTGTTCCCCATCTGTGCTGGATCTTAAAAATGTTTCTACAGAATGTATTCAGAAGCCAACAGGGCCTTCCGGATAGGTAATGAAAAGGACTTTACTGCTGTGACCAAAATATCAAGCTTGTTCATCACAAACTTCCCAAAAATTTCTTTGAGTTACTTTAACGTCTTTTGTTGTCTGCCTGGTGTTCTACAGATTTATCAGTGCTTCCCAGAAAGACAAAAGAGAAATTGCCGTATCATTGATGAATCAAGAGCCCAAGGCAATCTGTAAACATAAAAGCAAACTCAAAAGGAACACTTCATCTAGAGGGCCAGGAATATCACATCTTTCTTACAAAATCATCAGTGCGGGTACAGCCTGCTGAGTACAGGTCTTGATCTCTGCCTAGTGCTGCTTTGTGTTTTAAGTTACTTGAGAGAGAAGAAACGAGGTGTGGGGAAGCCCCATAAATGTTTTGTCAGGACTGTGAGCATCCTGTGGATCTGTGGATGTACCGTTCAGATGGATCCTTCTGCATGGAGAGTGGTAATTCACATAGAGCAGTAGTTATACAGTGGTGCCTCGCTTAACGGCAATAATCCATTCCAGGAAAATCGCCGTTAAGCGAAAACATCGTAAAGAAAAAAAAACAATTGAAACGCATTGAAACCCCTTCAATGTGTTCCAATGGGGTCAAAACTCACCGTCCAGCAAAGATCCTCCACAGGGCAGCTGTTTTCACTGCCTGTCTTGCGAGGAATCCGTCCCCGATCAGCTGTTTTAAAATCGCCGTTTTGCAAAGAATTGGTTCCCGAAGCAGGGAACTGATCATCGCAAAGCGAAAAAAAACCCTTTACACCATCGTTTTGCAATCACAAAAAGACTGTTGTAATACGGTTTCATCATAATGCAGGGCAATCGTAAAGCGAGGCACCACTTTTTTGTATTTTGTATTGCAAAATCTAGCATTCCTGGGAGGGCTTTTTTTCGCAAACTCTCAGGGTGCATTTTTTTGGAGGGGACAGATAAAAAGGTGTTCTAATGAGGAGGACCTTTAAAAGGCAATTCCCCCCCGCCCGACACCTGCCTTTGGTGACTCTGACGCCTCCTGTTCTGCCAAGTCAATTTATGGGTTCCTTTCTAACGATTGCTTTGGATTTGAAATGCCGTGACTCTGACTCTTTGGGTTTTGTTTTTTTAATCTGCCGATTGTGGACACTGCCTCTGCAGGCTATCAAGACAGTGTGAAAAGATTGCGTTTGATTACACCGGAGTGGGTCGCTTTGCCAGGAGCGACCTCTTTTAGAGGAACCGATCCAGCTGTACAGAAATTGGTCCAGCCGGGTGCCAAAAAAAGGAGCGCACCGTCCACCGGACACAATCTCCTGGGCATTGTGTGATCGCCGTAAAATAGACTGTATCAAACTGTGCCGCTTGCAGTCCAGAACAGAAATTTTACCAGGGAAGCAGACTCCATGAGATTTGCTGTCAAGTTGGACGTCAAACACACACTGGTGACTTGACTCGTCAAACTGTGCCGCTTGCAGTCCAGAACAGAGATTTTACTAGGGAAGCAGACTCCGTGAGACTTGCTGTCAAGTTGGATGTCAGTCACACACTGGTGACTTGACTCGTTTTAATAGGGACTCAGGCATGGGACTTGGGACTTGATACCCAAGACTGGAACTCGGACTTGGGACTCGATACCAAAGACTCGGATTTGGATTTGGGTCTCGAACCCAAAGACTTGCCAGTATCCCTATTGAGTCATGACTCGGAGCGCGCCCACCCTTCCCTCTTTTTTTTCTAAGGAAACCATTGTTTTTAATAGGGACTCAGGCTTGGGACTTGGGACTTGATACCCGAGACTGGAACTCGGACTTGAAACTCGATGCCAAAGACTCGGATTCGGATTTGGGTCTCGAACCCAATGACTTGCCAGTATCCCTACTATTCTGCTATCTGATCACACCCTTTATCAAGGTTCTGCTGTAGCCTGTTGATAAATTTTCTCTCTTTGGTTTATCTCCCCGCCTGGCTGATCTGTGACTTCATCTCTCAGCTCTCCCCCCTCCACGGTTTATCGCTATCTGATCACACCCTTTATCAAGGTTCCGCTGTAGCCTGTTAATAAATTTTCTCTCTTTCGTTTATCTCCCCGCCTGGCTAATCTGTGACTTCATCTCTCAGCTCCCCCCCTCCCCTCCACCGTTTATCTCTATAGTTCTCCCCTTCCCCATTTTGCATGCCCTTTTTGTACTTTTTTGAAAAGGACCGGACTCGACTCGGGAGGGTTATTCTGGATTACAACTCCTAGCATCCCCCCAATTCTTCTTGAGAAAGGGGGCCCTGAGTGTCGTAATCCAAAAAAACTAGCATTTTCAAACCTTGTTTGAACTTGTATAAAGCTTTCTTTTATAGACCGGTCACTGATTCATTGACATGGTCTATTTTCAAGAGACATTTACTGTCAAGAGTCTCAGACAAAGGTCTTCCCGTCCGTTTCAGTTTTCAAAAATGATTTCAGATTGGTCTTTTGCTGGTCAATGACCGTAATAAAACATTTCAATTCAGATTGGTCTATTTCAGTAAGAAATCAGAGTCATGCATGATCTTAAAGACCGGAGGTGTTTTTTGTACAGTAATCTTGTTCATCAGTTGCATGGGGTGTGTTTGTTTCAGGTACGTGTATGTGTTTAGGGGTGACGTGATAGATGATGTGATCAAGATGGTGATTAAAAGCAGAAATGGCGGGTGGTGAGAATTAAATTAATAATGTGGCCATTTATTGAGCTGTTATTGATCACACAAATGTCCCAGTACTGAGTCACCTAGTAAACCCATCCGGTGTGCTAGAAACTGCGGTTCCAATTCAATTCCTCGGTGGCAGCTCGGCTGTCTTAAGAGGATGGGAATCACAATCAGATAGAGTCAGCCAGAGGCGGCGGGCGGGGGGGGGGAGGGCGCTGTGCTCCTTTTTTAAAAAAAACCCAAAATGAAAATCCAGCATGCACTTGGTGCTCCTTTCTGCCGTACTGAGAACGCGTACGATCCTGGAGGTAGCTGGAGCCTCCCACCTCCTCCCTTCGAGATTCAAATTATTTTCCGATGGCTTTGCATGGTGCCCTTAACTATTGAAAACATCCCCGGTTGCCCCATCCTGCCGCACGGCCTCTGCTACAGTGCAGTCTGTGTTCCTCCTGCTGGCACAAAGCACCCACTGTTAATTGTGGTGCTGTGCGGTAGGGTGTTGAAGAGACAAAAGCAAAGGAACTGACCCATTAAGGGCTCTTTTCTGCCCCTTCGCTCGCTCTCCCTGACTAGATCAGTGTTTTGTTGGCGAATAGCGTGCTGGAATCGCCCCAAGCCGTCTTATTATCTGTCTTCCCTCCACGCATTTCTACTCCCTTCTGATGCGTCAATAACGGTTTTTGAGGACAGCCGGCTCTCTGCTTTCTCCCCTCCATCCGAAATAAGTTGTCTCGCCCTTCGCTTGAGCCGAGGTCCTTCGGCTTCCCTTGCCTTCCGACCCCGCAGGAGGAGGTAGAAAGAAAACCCAAATAAAAAGTAAATACAAACTCACCTTAGGAGCAAACAAACAAGGCTGGCTGTTGGGAGTTCTCTCGGATCAGCGGCTTGATAATTTTTTGGTTCTGGCTATAATGGTAAGCTGTGGAAGCCCGGGATGTTTTTATACATTAAAAGTGAATTTGCATCTGCAACATGGTGTTTAGTTCTCCATTTAGAGAGCTAAACCACAGGGATGACACATTTCCTTTCTGTTGTAAGTAGACTGTGATGTGTTGGAGGGGGGGAAAAAACCACCATTTTGCCCAAATTAGAACTCTGAACTGCAGGATAAAGTAAGGGTTCCTTTGAGATGAAGAGCCACTTCTATGCTTGTTAAAAGTTCACTGTCCTTCTCCTTTGCTTGTTGTCTTTCCACACAACTGAGCACACCTTTATTGGACTTTCCTTTTTTAAAAACAGAGTGTGGTGTTGTAGTCGGCGTTAGCCGTGTAGATTGAAGCCACCGGAGTTTTGAAAGCAAATGTATGCGCTTCCTCTGCATGGTTCTCTTAAGTGCCATGCAGATGTTCAGGCCAAGATCATCCGTGCGTTTCAGAATCCAGCCGAAGCGGGACCCATGTGTCCTGGTTGGTTAGTTTTTTAAAAAAAAAGATCATTACTGATTCAAACGATGCATTTCCTTTTTGTGAAATGAGGAAATACCGCTGGAAATCCAACCTGAGTCTTTGTATTTTAGATCATTCTTCCTCAACCGGGTCCTTTTACAGCTACGCTGGATAACAGCTCCCATGATCCCCAACCAGCAAGTCCATTGGCCCTGCTTGCTGAGCATGACGGATGTTGTTTTTCACTGGATCTTGGGGCTCTGATTGCGCAAGACCACCGATCGTGACCGACATTAGCAGTTTTAATCAAAGAAGCCAGTTCAGTCCCAAGTTCTGTTCGTACGCTTTAGATGCAGTTTAGGTTTGGTAGCATAAAAACATGTAAACATGTTATGCCTGTAATTGACACCAGTCAAGGAAATATTATATTTGTTAAATAGCAGCAGAACAAAACAAGATTCTCCTGGGATCTTTTTTTTTTCCCCTCCTGGAACAACAGCAGAGCTTTTAATTAAGTGTAAAACTGCTTTAATCGGGCTTGTTTGGAATCCTGAAAGCATCTAAATGTCTCTGCAGCTCTCCCTTCCTCTCCTGCTATTCATCGGGAGGCTCTCGGACACATCCAATTAAGCAGCAGGATGCTGTGTTTCGACTCTCTTCGCAAGTGGAAGCGTCTGAATTATAATCCCATCAAATGGCGGGGCTTATAATGGAAATGCCAGTAGTTGCTTAATTAGAGCAGCACAGCTCTAATAAATGACCTCGTTTCCCTCTTTTTAAGTACAGGCATAATTTGAAAGTTTGGGTAAGGCAAATAAATTGGGATTTGATGAGGGAGCCCCTTGCTCAGACGCAGTGTCTGCTTGTAGACAAGGATGGTTTATGTCTGTCGTTGTTCTTTAAGTGGCCAGTCCAATTTTAAAGTAATTGATGTGCTCTTTTTCACTTACATGGTTTCTTCACTTGTGCTCGGTGACCTCTGCATTTTCCCTTGGTCCTTGTTTTGGGGCAGAATTGGGCACCAGAATGTTAGGGCCCTGATCCGTCCGGTGGCTTGCTACCTGAGCCGAGGACCTCATCATGAGGATTGACAGGGATATTCCTTGTGTTATAAAGAGCTTGTAGAACCAAGAACAAAGAAAGAGAGAGAGAGAGGAGTCTTCACTGTGATACTTTAACTCTTTTTCTAATCTGGAATCTAGCTAATGGATACACCACTAGTTCCGTACATTCTAGATCTGTAATTTCTCAGTCCTTCCTGACTTAAACAAAACAAAACAAAACACCTGAGTCCCACCATGATAAAACAAAAAGGTGGCTGTGTTTAAGGAGGGCATTCGTACATGTACAGTTTCTGCTATAGTTGTCATTTACAGCAAAGTTAATGAGAAGTAGGCATGGAGGAATTGAGGAAGACGCTGAATGTCCAGAGTCAATTTGTCAAAAGATCACTGATGAAGATCCGTAGCTGGTGGAGTCAGTAAGAGAAGCCATGTCACACTTAAGGCGGTTGAGAGAGAGAGAGAGAGAGAGAGAGTAAAGTCTTAGTACAGTAGGACCTGCTTATCTGCAGGATTAATATCCACTGATTCACTTATCCATGGTGCAAAAGTATTAAAATATTAAATGAAAAAATCTAGAAATGTATATTCTAAATATGGAGTTGGCCACTACAATGAGCCAGATGTTGGCTATTATTTGTTTGTTTGTTTGTTTTGTTTATTGGGCTTATAGGCCACCCATTTAGACAAAGTCTACTCTGGACAGCTCACAAAACACATAAAAATAATTAATATGAGATAACAATTTCCAACATTAACACAAGACAGAATAGATAAAGACAAAGAGAGAGAGTTACGTAGTGCCCGGAGGGAAAGCCTGTCTATATAACCAGGTCTTGAGTTGGTTTTTAATATTATAATAGCATAGCATTGACTATATGCTATTATAATAGCATTGACTATAATCTGCCATTTTCAGCATCCACGTTGGGGGCTTGGAACACTTTTGGATCCAGAGATCCTGCTGTACGTATTATGGAAATCCCATGGGCCACTTAAGCCTGCTTCTGTGTCCCACCAGTGGTAACTCTACATGACAGCACCAGTAGCACAAGGTGATAATGGAAATGCCAGTAGTTGCTTAATTAGAGCAGCACAGCTCTAATAAATGACCTCGTTTCCCTCTTTTTAAGTACAGGCATAATTTGAAAGTTTGGGTAAGGCAAATAAATTGGGATTTGATGAGGGAGCCCCTTGCTCAGACGCAGTGTCTGCTTGTAGACAAGGATGGTTTATGTCTGTCGTTGTTCTTTAAGTGGCCAGTCCAATTTTAAAGTAATTGATGTGCTCTTTTTCACTTACATGGTTTCTTCAGTTGTGCTCAGTGACCTCTGCATTTTCCCTTGGTTCTTGTTTTGGGGCGGAATTGGGCACCAGAATATTAGGGCCCTGATCCATCCGGTGGCTCACTACCTGAGCCGAGGACCTTATCATGAGGGTTGACAGAGATAATCCTTGTGTTATAAAGAGCTTGTAGGACCAAGAACAAAGAGAGAAAAGAGCTTGTAGGACCAAGAACAAAGAGAGAGAGAGGGGGGGGGAGAGAGGAGTCTTCACTGCAATACTTCAACTCTTCTTTCTAATCTGGAATCTAGATAACGGACACACCACTAGTTCCATACATTCTAGATCTGTAATTTCTCAGTCCTTCCTGACTTAAACAAAACAAAACAAAACACCTGAGTCCCACCATGATAAAACAAAAAGGTGGCTGTGTTTAAGGAGGGCATTCGTACATGTACAGTTTCTGCTATAGTTGTCATTTACAGCAAAGTTAATGAGAAGTAGGCATGGAGGAATTGAGGAAGACGCTGAATGTCCAGAGTCAATTTGTCAAAAGATCACTGATGAAGATCCGTAGCTGGTGGAGTCAGTAAGAGAAGCCATGTTGCACTTAAGGCGGTTGAGAGAGAGAGAGAGAGAGAGAGAGTAAAGTCTTAGTACAGTAGGACCTGCTTATCTGCAGGATTAATATCCACTGATTCACTTATCCATGGTGCAAAAGTATTAAAATATTAAATGAAAAAATCTAGAAATGTATATTCTAAATATGGAGTTGGCCACTACAATGAGCCAGATGTTGGCTATTATTTGTTTGTTTGTTTGTTTTGTTTATTGGGCTTATAGGCCACCCATTTAGACAAAGTCTACTCTGGACAGCTCACAAAACACATAAAAATAATTAATATGAGATAACAATTTCCACCATTAACACAAAACAGAATAGATAAAGATAAAGAGAGAGAGTTACGTAGTGCCCGGAGGGAAAGCCTGTATATATAACCAGGTCTGGAGTTGGTTTTTAATATTATAATAGCATAGCACTGACTATATGTTATTATAATAGCATTGACTATAATCCGCCATTTTCAGCATCCACGGTGGGGGCTTGGAACACTTTTGGATCCAGAGATCCTGCTGTATGTGTTATGGAAATCCTATGTGCCACTTAAGCCTGCTTCTGTGTCCCATCACTGGTAACTCTACATGACAGCACCAGTAGCACAAGGTGACCCCAGTCATGATCACAAATCCTCTTTCCAAAGACCTAGACAGGCCTCACATCATTGTGGCTGAAATCCAGTAGTTAAATCACAACTAGAGTAGGCCCACTGATCAGTGGAACTTATCGAGAAATTGACTCACAAAAACCCCACTGATTCAGTGGGCCCACGCTAGTTTTGAGTTCTTCTTGTGTCTCAGTCAGTGTCTGAGTGAGTCCCCCAGGCTGTTGAAAGAATAATACACTGTCTTGAAACACTTGTTGGGCAAAACACTTTTTAGGCGGTGGGGTTGGTGGTGATTTCCTTGTTTAGTCACCTCGAGGTTTTCACGTCAACCCTGCATGGATCAAGCCAAATCTACGCCCGTAACCCTTCATTTCCCCCTTTTGTGTTTATTTTCCCCTACCAGGTTCAAGACCGGCCAGATCAATGGCGATCTGCTGATCTACCACGTCTTGTTAACGTTGAAGCCATACTACGCGAAGCCCTATGAGATTGTGGTGGACCTCACTCATGCCGGCCCCAGCAACCGCTTCAAGACGGACTTCCTGTCCAAGTGGTTCGTCGTTTTCCCAGGATTCGCTTACGAGAACGTGGCCGCCGTTTTCATCTACAACTGCAACTCGTGGGTCAGGGAGTACACCAAGTACCACGAGAGGCTCCTGACGGGCCTCAAAGGCAGCAAGAAGCTCATCTTCATCGACTCCCCCGGGAAACTGGCGGAACACATTGAGCACGAGCAACAGAAGCTTCCAGTGTCCACTCTGGCCTTGGAAGAGGACCTCAAGGTTTTCCACAATGCTCTGAAGCTGGCCCACAAGGACACCAAAGTCTCTATTAAAGTACGTTGCTTGTCATGCAGAGCTCAGTTCAAAATTGTAATTTTTCTGCAAAAACGCCCAGGGCAGTAGATGTGTGGTCATGCAGACGAAACAGGGATTCTGCATGTATCTTCTGAAGCTGGCCCACAAGGACACCAAAGTCTCTATTAAAGTACGTTGCTTGTCATGCAGAGCTCAATTCAAAATTGTAATTTTTTCTACAAAAACGCCCAAGGCAGTAGATGTGTGGTCATGCAGACGACACAGGGATTCTGCATGTAAACCAAGCACAAAATTTGCAATGGAACCTACGGTTACCATCCTTTTTTTTTTTTAAAGAACATAAAAAGAGCAAAATAGCCGTGTCTTGGAAAAGTTACTCTTTGGGCCATGCTGGCTGGGTATTCTAGTTGTAGCCGGAAAAGTGACCTTCTGCAAAATAACTAAGATTATGTAATGTACAGCTAGCTGATTGCATATGACTGTGGGATCCACGGGGGATTGGTACCAAGTGCTACCCCCCAGTGATGCAGAAGTATTGAATGCTCTACATTGTATGGTCTCTGGCCCCTACTGTAAATACGTATTTCTGGATTTATTTAGTATTTTCAGACAGCAGATATGTGAATCAGTGGATACTGGATCCTGCAGATAGAGAGGGTCTTGCTGTCATTTTTTTTCTGCCACAAATCAGAAATTAAGATACAGAAGCCATGGGTTATGACTCCATCAAGCTGCGGTGTGGTGTTTTGTTTTGATCTCTGAACAATAGTGGGAAAAAACCCCCACAACCCAAAAACCTAATCCAGACCACAGTCAAATACAGTTGTCCAAATAATGTCAGAAAGTGGTTAGCATCAACTTTTGTGCGGCAAAATAGACAAAGGTGGTATAGGAGCAACCAGGGCATGGATTTAAAACAAAACTGCAAACAGAACGTTCGGAACGTTCTCTTCTCCGCACGCGGGAGAGGTGTTGTGTTTGAGCCTCGGGTCGGTTGCTTCTTGTTCATTCCAGACAAGAATGACCCCAGTCATGATCACAAATCCTCTTTTTCAAAGTCTTAGACAGGCCTCACATCATTGTGGCTGAAATCCAGTAGTTAAGTTACAACTAGAGTAGGCCCACTTGGCTTGACGTTTGCCTGCCCGGCAGTATTTCCTTGAAAGTGGATTCTTCTACCTGTCCTGCTAACACTGAATGCAAACGATACTCTGGAAAAGAGAGATGATGAAGTTTAAACCCACCCTCAGGGATCTCTTCCACCTCTAGCGCCAAGCTGCGTTTCTGCTTGAGATCTCATTCCAGAACTTTGAGGCTTTCCAGAACTGACTATGTTGGAAAGTTTATATTTCATTTTTTTTAAAAAAATGTTTCTAGTCCTTAAGGCTAAAAATGCTGGTTTGAAGGGAGCATGGGATGACGCCAGATGCAATCTGTGAAGGCAAAGGGGCTTTGGGGGTGGATTTCTAGTAGTCTCTGGTTGCTTACTTGTAGATCGGCAGCAGCCGCCGTAACCACTGGACACCTTGTGTATCCTGTTGATTCCCCCCCCCCAGTGGCTCACAGTTGCCACGTTACCTGGTTAACCAGATTTCACTCAGATTCTTGGTCCGTTTGCCTGGATTTTGTCCATGTCCCTGTTTTTACAGTTTGCTGAATCAAGATGTCCTCTGTTGCCATCCCACGGGCCTGCCCCTCTGATAGATACCACCGGGACCTTGAGCGTTCACTTCTTAATCTCAGGTTCCTGGCCTTGAATCTCATGCAATAAGATGCCGAAGACGGAGCAGCTCTAAGCTTGCTGCTGTCGTCCAGATGGGCAAATGATAGCTTATGGACCGCACGTGATAGTGCTAAGGACATTCTCTCCTAAAGGAGGACCCCACAGTGCCATGGAAGGCAAATATTTGGCATGCATAAGAGAAACTGCTGGACAGCTCCGTGGTTGAGGCATCTGGTTGCTGAGCCGGTGGTTGAGTAGGAGGACCCCACAGTGCCATGGAAGGCAACTATTTGGCATGCATAAGAGAACTGCTGGACAGCTCCGTGGTTGAGGCGTCTGGTTGCTGAGCTGGAGGTTGAGAGTTTGATTCCCCCACGCTGCCTCTTTGACTCCATGATCCATAGGGTCCCGTCCAGCTCTGCAGTTCTAAGATGATGATGATGATCTCAGTTTTGGGTCATAATATCTGCTGACAGATAGTTCCTCCTAGAAAACGTGCAAAAAAAGCTTTATCCTGCACATCAGGCAGTAAAGTACTGTAAAAGATTACTTTTAATAGACCAAATTGGTGCATTATGTAGAACCAGCCTATAGACATTTCCATGGAAACGGATCTTGCTTTATTTAAAGGTTTGTTCCTTCACACCCATGCGCAGGATCCTAAATTATGCTTCCAGTTATGTTAATTAGAAATCTTCCAAAATGGCTGACCGTTTACAGAAAAATCTGTCCCGACCAGAACGAAAGGTCTTTCGCCGACTTTCCCCTCCTCTTGCCGGCATGTGTTTACCTGTGAGTAGTTTAATCCCAGAGTCAAAACTCATAAGGGTTCAAAATGGTTGAATCAGATACAGTGGTGCCTCGCATAGTGACATTAATCCGTGCAGCAAAAATTGCTGCTAAGCTATTTCGTCGCTTTACGATTTTAAAAAGCCCAGTCATAGTGACATTAATCAGTGCAGCAAAAACCCCTTCAATGCGTTCCTGTGGACTTGAAACTCACCTTAAAGCAAAGATCCTCCATACGGCGGCCATTTTTTTTAACCCGGTGACCATTTTGGAACCACCGATCAGCTGTTAAAAAATCATCACTTTGCGATGATCGGTAAGCGAAACAGGGAGCCGATCATCACAAAGTGAAAAAAACCCATAGGAAACATCGCAATGCGATCGCTTTTGTGATCGCAAAAAGTTAATCGCTATGCGGTTTCGTCGCTAAACGGAGCGCCCATTAAGCGAGGCACCACTGTACCTAAGAAATATGGACCGACCTTCCCCCCCCCCAGATGTTGGGTATCAGACAAGAGTACATAAAGTTATGCGGTTTCGTCGCTAAACGGAGTGCCCGTTAAGCGGGGCACCATTGTACCTAAGAAATATGGACCCCCCCCCCCGATGTTGGGTATCGGACAAGAGTACATAAAGTTTTCTGCCAAGAAAATGAGAATTCTTTAATCTCTTCCAAGGGAGCCCACAGGCTGATTGGTTTTATTTCTCCACTTGCCTCTGCCCAACCGAATTACCTTTCTGCAGGTTGGTTCTACGGCTGTGCAGGTGACTTCTGCTGAGCGCACGAGGGTCTTGGGCCAGACGGTGTTCTTGAACGACATCTACTACGCCTCTGAGATAGAAGAGATCTGCCTGGTCGATGAAAGCCAATTCACCTTAACCATTGCCAACCAAGGGACGCCTCTCACGTTCATGCACCAGGAGTGCGAAGCCATTGTCCAGTCCATCATCCACATACGGACGCGATGGGAGCTGTCGCAGCCTGACTCCATCCCGCAGCATACGAAAATCCGCCCAAAGGACGTTCCTGGGACGCTGCTCAATATTGCGTTGCTTAATCTAGGGAGCTCAGACCCCAGCCTACGGTAGGGATTTCTTGGACTTCATTGGAACGCCCTTCACTCGTTGACCTTCTCCTTCCATCCTGCTTACTTTGATACAATCTGGCTTGGTTTTAGCAAGTAGACGTTTATACTACTGACAGTTTAGTTTACGGCAAGGTGGATTTGATTCAAATAAATCAGGAATTGTTTGATGATTTAAATTTAAAAACTGATTTTTTTAAAAAAAAATTGAATCATGGTTTAAATTAATTTATTTTTTAAATAGCTTTGACTTTTATCCACCCTGGTTTATGGCCAGTGCTTAATTATTTCTAATAGAAGTTCCTAACGAGAACTAAAGGTGATAACCAACTCAGGAGATATATTCCTAGTTCATATTCTTCCCAGGAGGGAATGCCTGTTAAGACTATGTTTACATCACATAAAAACATTCTTTTTAAAAAAGAATTATTCTGTTTCCTTTTATGCAGATTTATCTAGATACAATCAGTTGGCTTTATTTCTTGATTGCATATCTCTCTCTCTTTCTGTCTCTCTGTCTGTTTGTCTATTAAATACATACATACATACATATATTTATGCCCAGCTTTCTACTGAAAGCACTCAAAGCGGTTTACAAAGCTTTTTTAAAAAATTAATCAATAAAGCCAACATTCTACTAAACCATTCATAAAATGATATAAATCCACCCCACCATAAAATACTTGAAATACAGCAATATGACTGTCCAATTAGCAAGCGCTCGTAAGATTTCTTACGAGATTCACCCCCACGTTGACTTGAGACATGCTGGCTGGGATAATTTTGGGAGTTATACTTAAAAAAATAATTTCCCCCCACTTCTAGTTAATTTTGGCGGCTGTGTTCTACATGGTTGTGCACAGGTCAGTATAGAAGCTAGAGATCAGACAGTGACCTTGATTTCAGTATTTCATAATTATTTTTCATAAAGAAGCTTTGTAGACCCCTATATTGGAAATCTTTTTTTTAATGCATTCTGTTTGTTTGTTTTCCCCTTAGGTCTGCAGCCTATAATCTTCTCTGTGCCTTAACCTGTACCTTTAATCTAAAGATTGAAGGCCAGTTACTGGAAACTTCAGGTCTGTGTATCCCTGCCAACAACACCCTTTTTATTGTCTCAATTAGTAAGACTCTGGCAGCTAATGAGCCCCACCTCACCTTAGAGTTTTTGGAAGAATGCATTTCTGGATTCAGCAAATCTGGTAGGTAGAGATTCTTTCTGATCTGGTTCTAACAATGAAAAGGCACAACGTTCATCGTTAATACTTTTGTCTTATCATTCGTATGCTTGCTGTTAACTGAGCGCCTTCTCTGCATAGCGTGCAACTGGAGATGGGCACGAACTCCTGGTTCTGCAGTTCGTGTCGGTCCCTGCCCCGCCTCCTCTGTGCACCGCCCCTGAGTGGGCGGCTGCCTGAGGAGGTGAGGCTTTGAAGCACCAAAAATCTGTTTGGCTGATAAATAAACTGGCAATTCGTGCCCCTCTCTGCTTACATCCAGTTGACAGGTGCATTTCCCCAATGTGACAGCCACCTCTTTGTGCTCATCAGTAGACACGGTGGAGTGTTTCGGTGTCAGGATGTATCTATAGATTGTGATCTATCCAGAACAGGATCAAGCCAAGACTGTTTCTGCTGAGTGATCCACTAGATCTCTCTGGCTTTCTATTTTCAGGGAATGGACATCTTGCCGGAAGAAGCTGAACTAACTTTTGGGAAGGAACCCTTCCTGTTCAAAATGCAATTTTTTTTTTAACAGCGGCTGTGTTTTTGGTTTTGAATTGCTGGCCGTCTGCCATTTCTTAGGAAACTCCGGAACGGGGTGTGCTTTTAGGACATGAGGCCTGGATTCCTAGTGAACCGTTCATAGCTCGCCAGAATAAAATGTTAAATTCTTGCAGGGCATTAATGATGATGATATTTTAAAGGATGCCATCCTGAAACATCTCGCTTTGAAATAAAGATCTCTAGGTCTCCTCTGGTTCGGGATTTAATTCAAGCCACAGCAAAGGCATTTCCTTACTGGATAGTGATAAGGTGGCTTTTTGGAAGCTTATGAGTCAACTGGGGGAAATACTCGACAAGATCCAGTTTGACTTCAGTTGGTTAAAAAGATCTGATCTGTTCCCTAATACTGTATTTTTTTTTTAATCTTGGAACAAGCCAATTCCAGGCCAGCAGGAGCCGGCAGAATTTGCCGGCTGCTGGTGCTCAAGTAGAGAAAGTTCTTCCGATGTGTGGGGCTGCCATGGAAACCCTTTTTTCCTGCCCCAGGTCTATCACTCAGCGTGCGGATGACAAAGTATTTGCCTGGGCTGATCCGCAGTGCTGTGTGCGTGTGGAAAGGGTAACACCTCTCACGCTCCTTTTGAATGCCTCTTCTCTTTCAAAGGCCATTTGCCGTTCAGCCTGGGAAGGGACCATCAAAGAAGCCGTTCCTCCCGAGCCTCCTTAGGCCCTTCCCAGTCTCTGTTGGATTCAGGATTTGCCACCTCCTTTCTAGCCATTTTCATCATGTCCATCTGTTGGGGGCTTTTTGCCTTAGGGTGAGAAGCCTGCAGAATTTTGCGCTGGCTTCTGCTCCTCTCGAGAAAGGAAGCCTTTCTCCCGGACTTCACACAGACCACGATCCTTAATTTTCCCCCCCACAGGCATTGAACTGAAACACCTCTGTCTGGAATACATGACCCCCTGGTTGTCAAACTTGGTCCGCTTCTGCAAACACAACGACGATGCCAAACGCCAGCGAGTCACTGCGATTCTCGACAAACTGATCACAATGACTATCAATGAGAAGCAGATGTACCCTTCCATCCAGGCCAAAATATGGGGCAGTTTGGGACAGGTACAGTAGGATTATGGTATCCACGGCGGATCGGTTCCAAGCCTATTATGATTATCGTCATCATCATTATAAAGTAGACTGTGTAACAGCTAAGAGAAAGCATTGTATCTTATCTGTGGGAGCCCTGCCTTCTTCTGAAGTTGGAATTCGGTTATATCAGTGAGTGTCGCTTAGCTGGCGTATTACCTTCTGGATCAAACAGGGGAAATGCATTTATCATTACCGTATAATAAGTACAGTATGCATGTGTGGCCCTTTTTGGGTAAGAAGAACTACTAGATGCTTTCTTTCTGTTAATGGTTTGCTGTGAGATTCCCGTGAGATTCTGTTCCAGGTCCTCGCGCTAACGAGTCGCCTTTTCTGAATAACTTCTCTCTTTTTTTTCCCCGCCCCTCCAACAGATAACGGATCTGCTCGATGTGGTGCTGGACAGCTTCATCAAAACCAGTGCTACGGGAGGGTTGGGATCCATCAAAGCGGAGGTCATGGCAGACACGGCGGTCGCCTTGGCTTCCGGAAATGTGAAGCTCGTTTCCAGTAAAGTAAGTGGATTCCGTTTAAATCTACCTTTTGATGCCATCTTTCTGTATTTGGACAGAAATAGTACGGTAGCTCAATTCATCTCTTCACACCATTGGCCCTTCACCTGTGTTACTCTGCAGATGCAGACCATAAACCTAAAGAGGAGGTGTTTTCCAGCAGAAAGGTTTGACTTTCTCTTTCCCCTTGTTCTTCTGGGGCATCCAGCAGGATACTTCTTCCTGCCGGTGAAACAAATTAAGTTACTCCTCCGTTTATATGATCGGGGGAACTAGATCCAGAGGGCTGGGGCCACGATCCTGCTCCATAAATGAAAAGGGGGAGGGGATATCTCATAGTCTGTCTTTCATAAAAGGGTTTTTTTTTAACTTTCAGAAAATCGGAGACCTTCGCCAAGCCTTCTAAAGAAGGATAATTGTCTCTTGTGGAAGGCTTCCTGCAACGCACAACAAAGGGGGGTGGGGTTCTAGGAAGGGCTTTGGCTTTACCAAAACAGCCCGGGGCTGCGCAGTTCCCACTCAGGTTTATATTGTTCACGACAGCCATAAACAAAGTAAGAACAGGAGGAGTCCTGTTGGAGCCAAGCACAACTCAGCAGGTTCTCTCCTACTGTGGCCAGCCCCGGAGCTTCTGGGCAGCCCCTGAGCATGACTGGAAGGTGGCCACCGGTTCTTTTAAGCCGTTGAGCACAAGGCTTGGTTCAGTTAGGAATTAATACCTGTGGTGTATACAGATGTGTGTAATTGCGGTGGTGAGCCCACTATGGGGGCCTCGTCATCACAGTTCTGATAGAGACGGCTTTCTTTCCAACAGAGAGTACAAAATTGACATTTTTGTTTGTTTTTTGTTTTAAATAGAGAGAATACATATACTGTATTTTTCTGTGTATAATACTATACTTTTGTCTAAAATCTTTTAGACTAAAAATTGAGGGTCGTCTTATACACGGAAGTAAACTGAGGAGGAAACAAAAAATAAGTGGAGGGGAATTCAGGGATCAAAGTGATTCTGCCGGGCTTTGATCCCTCCTTTCCCCTCCACGTGCTAAACCCCACTTAGATTTCTTAATTTTGGGTTAGAAAAGTGGGGGCGTCTTATACATGGGAGTGTCTTATACATGGAAAAATACGGTATGTTTTTTAAAAGCATTGGGGAAGATAAACCATGCAAGCATCTGGGGATTCCCCGACTTTGGAGGGCTAAAAACAAAGCAACTTAGGCAGCTGGAAGGATGTGAAGAGGGCAGGGGACAGTTTGTGATTTGGAGGCAAGACCTAGCAGCTGAGGAATGGAGGCAGGGAGAAGCACAGGTGAGCAGGTGAAGCCGAAATGTTTCTTGGTGGAAACAGGCCTGAAAGATGGATTTCAGCTAAATGGAAGAGGAGACAACATTGCCGTCTTGGGATGTTGTTCGAGCTGTAGCTACTGATGGGGAAGAAATCAAGGTTAGGATAAATATGTCAGGAACATTTCTCTCCAAAAAATGGCTGGAGTTCCTAGTCAATGCAAGGTGCCTCCCGCCCTGGCCCCCCGAATTTAGCAGCCTTCATTCCTACGATCCTCAGCCATGCCTGTGTCTTCGAGTCAACCTCTGCTGTTTTGGCTCATGCTTGCTGTTGTTTCCAGAGGCAGGCTCCCCTTCGCTAAAAACGATCGGTTGCTCCCTTTCAGGTGATTGGAAGGATGTGCAAGATCATCGACAAGACGTGTCTGTCTCCAACTCCTACCTTAGAGCAGCACCTGATGTGGGATGATATTGCCATCCTAGCCCGCTACATGCTGATGCTGTCCTTCAACAATTCCCTCGACGTGGCCGCGCATCTCCCCTACCTCTTCCATGTGGTCACTTTGCTGGTGGCCACCGGCCCGCTTACCCTTCGAGCTTCCACCCACGGCCTGGTCATCAACATCATCCATTCCTTGTGCACTTGTTCCCAGCTTCATTTCAGCGGTAAGTCCTCTAGCAGATGGGGCTTCGTGAACTTGAATTCATCCTCTCTTCTTTGGTTTGTGCCTTACACCGTTGGCCGCCGATTCCCGAGGGGCAGCTTTAACAGGTTGGGAAGGTTTGTTATCCATTTGGGGTCTTTGGCGGTCCCCATAAGTAACTGAAGGGAAATCGGCACTGACCCTTTCAATCTGTGCCACACCGTTTATGAAGCCTTCTCCTCCAGTTTAGCTGGTTGGATAGCTTTGTGGTTGAGGTCTCAGGCTGCAGAGCCAGAGGCTGGGGGTTCGATTCTCCCACTGAGCTTCCTGTGGGTAGAGCCAACCTTTGTTGCTTTGGGCAAGCTGCACAGTCCCAATGCTCAAACCACTTTAATTTAATTTGAGTACATTGTACTCAGAAGGGTCACTACAGTGGTGCCTCGCTTGTCAATGTTAATTTATTCCAGCGAAATTGCTGTAGAATGAAAACGTTGTCAAACGAAATAAAAAAAACCATTGAAACGCATTGAAAACCATTCAATGTGTTCCAGTGGGCTGAATACCTGCTCGTCCAGTGAAGATCCTCCATATGGTAGCCATTTTCGGTGCCTGTAAAGCGAGGAATCCGTCCTAGAAAACAGCGGGGGGCCATTTTCTTCAGCCAGCGGCCATTTTGAAACCTGCCGATCAGCTGTTTGCTGATCGTCGTAAAGTGAAAATCGGATACTGAAGCTGGGAACCGATCATCACACAGCAAAAAAAAACCCATTTAAAACATCGTTTTGCGATCGCAAAAGCGATTGCAAAAACATCAATGTAAAGCAGATTCGTCGTAGAGTGGGGTGATCGTCCAGCGGGGCACTACTGTATTGACTTGATAGCACACGATGACGATGATGTTCCCATAATCATCCAGTGGGGCACGACTGTATTGACTTGATGGCACACGATAACAATGATGACGTTCCCATGTTTTCTTTCTCTGTCTGTGATTCAGCTAAATGCTCATGGGATGTGATTCAGACTGACTTGTTTGTATGTCCTTCAACAGAGGAGACCAAGCAAGTTTTGAGGTTGAGCTTGACGGAATTCTCACTGCCCAAATTCTATTTGCTGTTTGGAATAAGCAAAGTGAAATCAGCAGCGGTCATTGCATTCCGGTCCAGTTATCGGGACCGTTCGTTCTCCCCGGGGTCCTACGAGAGGGAGACATTTGCGCTGACATCCCTCGAAACTGTCACAGAAGCTCTGCTGGAGATTATGGAGGTACGACGGGGTGAAGCAAGCTAGGAGTTGCCTGCCCTTGTGTTAAATCCAGAGCGAGGAGCTTCATTTGAGTGATTCCGCTGAAGTTTTAATTTGACGACTTTGGGGAGGGAGTTCAGTCGGCGGTGTTGAGAGTTAAAGGGCACACGAATTTGTATTTTGGTATCATTTCCATTCTAGCGGTAGTGTTTCCATTTGGTTGGGAATGAAAAAAGAACACACTAAGATGGCCTTTAGCAGTGAATGGTAGTTGATTGCCAGGAGTAGACAAGTAGTGACGAGATTCGGTTGATACCTAGGAACTGTTCCTATTTAAAAGGGGGTTGTCATGTATAATATTCCCTTCTTTTAAATTAAAAAGATGTTTCCTTAAAGTAAAGCCAAAAACCGACACAATGGTGGAGAAGTTCTAGCCTAACCTTCTCTGTGATTTGCTTGTTTTATATCAACAGGGGTAAAGTAGGACCCCCTAGTTCTGTGGGATCACTATCTGCTGATTCAGTTTCCCGTGGTCTGAAAATAAAAGAAAAAACTCCCAGAAATATATGTTTCTAATTAAGTTACCAGAACTGGCTCCTAGAGGGAGGAAGAAACCATACTATGTACACTGTTTGCTATAATCCGTGTTTTCTAACACCTGCGGGAGAGCTTGAAACCCATTTCTCATGGATATGGGGGGGGGGTGTCCTGCTGTATTTGTGTCTCAGTGTGGTGCAGCGTTCAGAAGTAGGAAGCTCCCCCCCCCTCGGCCATGTCATCTATTCCTGCATGTGAGGATCCAAATCACCCTTTTCTTTTCCACACGAATGCTTGACCTGTAAAGAGGTGGAGAGAGGAACATGTTATCTATTCCTGTATGTGAGAATCCAAATCACCCTTTTCTTTTCCACATGAATGCTTGACCTGTAAAGAGGTAGAGAGAGGAAAACGGTCTCTCGGAAAGTCCACTTACATTCAATATGCATTTACTGTATGGCCAAACTTAGTCTTTAAATCCCAGTTAAAGCAGTGGTTCCCAAGCTTGGGTCCTCCAGGTCTTGTTCTTGGACTGCAACTCCCAGATGCCCCGGGTAGTACAGCTGGCGGTGAAGGCTTCTGGGAGTTGCAGTGCACGAACAACACCTGGGTGACCCACCGAATTAAAAGAACGGAGGCAGGAAGGAACTCATCAGAAGATGTCTCTCACTTGTCCGTTATTAGAATGAGAAAACAGTAAACACAGGAATTGTACATATTTACCTGGCCTCTGGAAGAGAAAAGTGGGCAGACAGCTAAATCTCAACGAATGTCTTTGCGGGCATCATGGGCTCAGGCAGTAGAGCTTTTGATTTTTTTTTCCCTTTCCGGCAGGCCTGTATGAGAGATATTCCGACTTGCAAGTGGCTTGACCAGTGGACGGAACTAGCTCAAAAGTAGGTCCCGCTCCCTCTCCTTTCACCTCTGAGGAGTACACCTATGTCCCACACACACACCCTTGATCCCTTTTCCTCCCACCTTGACTTCATTCCACTAGCTCTCCGTTGAATTTCTCCCTTTTCTCCCTTTGCGCAGGTTTGCATTCCAGTATAATCCGTCCCTCCAGCCCCGAGCCCTCGTGGTCTTTGGGTGCATCAGCAAGCGCGTGTCGCACGGCCAGATCAAGCAAATTATCCGGATCCTTAGCAAGGTTGGTACCTCTTTTTCTTCTGGGTTCGCTTTCCTTTTCACCTAGCTCTGTTTGCCGGATCAGGACCGACCTGCTACATTTTATATGGACAAGCATTCAAGCCATGATAAGTTTTCAACTCTTGCTGTGATATATTTATGAGATGCCATGGGTTTACCAAAGATGACACTGTATACTTTAAGCACAGAGTACTTGCAGTCTTGTAACTTTTCTGTGTATTACACACCAACTGTACGTTTACTTAAAACGCTTGTGTTCTGCTGTTCAGCTGAGAAGATGACTTATCTGATCAAAAACCTGCAGAAGCTTGTTTGTTTCTTTTGTTTAAAATATTACAGTTCACACTCTGCCGTATCTGAGAACCCTAAGCTGAATTCTCTTCTCCTTTGGTCAAAAAACAGGGTCTGGAGAGTTGCTTGAAAGGTCCCGATAACTACAATAGCCAAGTTCTTATAGAAGCCACTGTCATAGCACTGACCAAGTTGCAGCCACTCCTTAATAAGGTAAACTAGTCCTATCTTGGCTTATTAAACTGTGATGAGGTCATCGGAGCTGGGCGAGGCCATGATGAACATGTATACAGATATATTCAGTTTGCATATAGTATTTTATTTGTAGTCCTATAAGGTATAATGGGATGTGGGTGGCGCTGCAGGTTAAACCACCGCTGAGCCGCTGAGCTGGTCGATCAGAAGGTCGGCAGTTTGAATCCGCGTGACGGGGCTGAGCTCCCATGGCTTGTCCCGGCTCTTGCCAACCTAGCCGTTCGAAAGCATGCAAATACAAGTGGATGAATAGGTCCCACCTCGGAAGGGAGGTAACGGCGCTCCACGTGACCACGGAAAGTGTCTATGGAGGAATGCCTGCTTTTCGGCTTCCGAAGAAGGATGAGCACCGGCCCCTAGAGTTGGACACGACTGGATTTAATTGTCAGGGGGGAATCTTTACCCTTACCTTTACCTCTAAGATACGGGGCAGGAATCATGAGATCTGTGGGTCCCAACATTCCAGTGTTGTTTCCCGCTCCTGCCCCACCCCCAAGAACTGCTGTGTCCCCACCCGCACATCCCTCCTTTCCGGCCTTTTGTGTTCCTCCTCCCCTGCTACCTTTTAAACATTTAAATAGGCAATTTCACAAAACAGGGATGTGTAGCTACACGAGGTTCCTCCCTCCCCCCTGTTTTTCTTTTCATTTTGGTTGTGTTAGAAGAGGCCCCAGCACATTCCGGGCATGGGAACTTGGGGGACCGAACCTTTGCCAATCACTGCCTTAGGTGTTGAGATTGCTTAGGTGCAGAATGAGTGGAATGCGTAAGTCTGACCTTTTGTTTTGGATGTTTGATACCAGAATTGACCGTTTGCATGCAAATTTATATTTCCAGGACTCTCCTATGCACGAGGCCCTCTTCTGGGTGGCGGTGGCTGTTCTGCAGCTGGATGAGGTCAACCTGTATTCGGCAGGCACGGCTCTGCTTGAACAAAATCTCCATACCCTGGATAACCTTCGAGTATTCAATGACAAAGTAAGCCGGGAAATATATTATTCTAATTCTTCTTCATCGAATCAGAGAAAACCATGACTGTTCTTACTTGTGCCAAAGATTCGTAGATTCTTTCATTGGTGGCGCAACAGATTTGGACAAGAGATTGGTTTCCAGGTCGAACAGTGGACTTCGGGATAATCCCCCCAAAAATATGTAGGCCATCTCTGGCAAGGGGGTTTAGCATGGCAAACCCATCTGGGTCCATATTCTGATTTGGTCATGAAATATCCTTGCCAACAGTGGGGCCAGCCAGCCTATTTTCCATGCTTGTGATGATGAGATAGGATGAACCTGTACAACGTCTTCCAAACTCCCAATGAGATATCCACGAAATGAGAGATATAAAAATGATCCCACAGCATCAGAGCGAATGGTTGAGGTTTGGACATGTCTTTTCTCCTGCACCTTTTACAAAAATGGCTGTTGTCGTTGTGTTATTTGGTCCGTAACTTCCAGCAAAGGTACACAGCAGTGGACTTGCAAGAGGCATTCTCTCTTGTCTCTCAAACCAAAGGAGGTGCTTCTGTTTGAGAGTTTTTATAAGTCCAGCATCTACACGGAAACTCCTTTTCAGTCAATAGAAGTGTTTTATTGTTTTTACTGGCAGATGTATTAAATTCTGCAACTCTGCAAAAAAATTGTGACGGTAGCACAGTGGATGTGAACCCTAACCCTCTCCCAGCCAAAATCCTATTGTCAGTCCTTTGGCTTCTTCACAGAGTCCGGAAGGAGTTTTCATGGAGATCCGGAGGCCACTCGAATGGCACTGCAAGCAAATGGACCACTTTGTGGGACTCAATTTCAATTCGAACTTCAACTTTGCCCTTGTGGGTCATCTCCTGAAAGGTAAGGAGGCAGCTGGGAAGGCTTGGTTCCTTAATTTCAGCCCCAAAAAGGTCCTTCTATGCAAAAAAGAAGGGGATGCCCCACAGTTTATAGAGATATCCATGGTCTGAAAATATTAAAAATATTCAAAGAAACAAATCCAGAAAAAATATATTTTCACATGCATTATCCGAACCAGCCACTGGTGGGAGCAAGAGACTGTGCTATGAATACTTGTTAGTGCATAGCATGGTCTCTAGTGCCCTCTAGTGGCCAGTTTCAGTAATGCGTGTGAAAAATATTTGTTCTTGTTTTATTATTCCTTTTGCCATGCTAAATATATAATGTTTGATATTGTCCACGATTTTCATTATCCATGGGGGGCTTGGAACCAATCACCAGCTCATAGGGATGTCTTACTGTTCTTGCTTTTTGAGGGGAAAAATCCCTCTGCAGGTAGAGAACTAGCACAGGATGGAGTGCACTGGATTAAAATCGACCTTCTTGAGATACCTCATTTTCTTCTTGCTGGGACTGTTAACCGGTCAGAGTGTTACTCCTCACCGAGTAGGTTGAGGTGGCTCAGTCCATTTTTGCCATCTCTTTGTTCATGCTAGGTAGGAAAACATGTCCAACATTTTTTGACGTTTTCCTGCCCTGATCTGCAGTTGAATGACTTCCATTCGATTCCTCAACATTTCTCTGAACCAGATAACGGCTGTGTTGGACATTTAACCCCCGTTAAGCTCTGTACTAGTTTATGTTCTTGCCCTTTGGTTAAAACTAGTCAATCAATACAGCCGTAACACTGTTCCAAAGCATCATTTTCTTACCTTGCCGTTAAGGGGCTGCTTAATGCCATATTTATTTCTCCAGGCTATCGGCATCCCTCGCCAACTATTGCCGCGAGGACCGTAAGGATCCTCCACACGCTCCTCGCCCTGGTGAACAAACAGAGGAACTGTGACAAGTTTGAGGTGAATACGCAGAGTGTGGCTTACCTCGCAGGTAAAAAAAACCTCTAGTCTCTTCTGCTTGTATACAAATCCATGCTCGGTGTCTTAGATCTGGATAGGCCTGCTTCTCTCTCTCTCTCTCTCTCATTCTGGACACAAAGTAGACCAGCGAAAAAATGAGAGATGGGGTAGTACGGCACTCAGATTTACTGGATGAAGGCCAGGGGTGGGGGGGTAAGAGAGAGGTTAAGCTGCCCTCTCTCCACCATGAAGTCCACTGTGTGTGACCTGAGGTGTCTCTCAGTGCAACGCACCTCGTAGAGTTGTTGTGAGGGAGGAACGTGAGCAAGGAGAGGGTCTTCTACACGGCCCTGGGTTTTATGGAAAAGTGGCCGGAGGAAAGAAGGAGCGGAGGGTTTATGATGAGCTGCCTTCAGGCCCTTTCCCCAAACAGACCACTTCAGATTGCTGGTTGTTTTCAAAGCTGGGTTGCAGGGCAGCCCCTGTTTCTGGGTCTTCTCCTTCACAGACTCTCGCTCGTTTGTTGCGCCTCTGTCTTGCCTCTGTCTCGTGAAAGGGTGTACAAGGTGCGCCATCTCCTCACGTTCATCATCCCAATTACCGCGGGAGGTAGGGCGCAGCCTGCGAGAGAGGGTGATTAGCTTGGAGGGAACGTCCTAGGCCTGTGGTGACTTGAACCCAGGGTTTTTCTGAGCCCTAATCCTGCACTGCGTCCCCGGTATCCTGCAGACTCTTGCAAATGTGAGCATGTTTGGCAGTTTCCAAGAAGCTTCCCCTTCGGCCCCGACACGTCAGCAAGGATGCTGCAAACGCACGCCCTGACCCCCTGCTGAAACCGGCGACCGCTTGCAGTTATGCCAGTTAAGCACATCTGATGGCACTGTGCTTATTTTCCACAGTTATTTTTGTTTCGTGAGAAAAAGCCGGAGCCACCTATGGCCTCGAAACCTACTTACCCTCACCATCTGGAAATCCTGCTCAGCCTCTTTGTCTCCTTCTACTTCTCCATATCTTCTTGATCACATTTCCAGACTTCTGCTTTGGGAAATCCTGCTCAGCCTCTTTGTCTCCTTCTCCATATCTCCTTGATCACATTTCCAGACCTCTGCTTTGGTCCATAAGGACTAGAAACTTGTCTTGAGAGAAGGTGGCAGCTTAGTTTCTCAGCACGCCTCCTTGGGGGTCACTTGATCACTTACAGAATAAATGCATTACTGCCCTTTTTAGGAGGTTTAGAGTTGGAAGTCTTTACTTTGATCATCTCTCTGCTTCTTTTCCTTCTTCTTTTTTTTTTTTTTTGGTCTGTTCAGCTTTGCTCACTGTGTCTGAGGAGGTTCGAAGCCGCTGCAGCCTAAAGCATAGGAAGTCCCTCCTGGTGACAGATATCTCAGTGGAGAATGTTCCCATGGAGACCTACCCCATCCATCACAGCGATGCTGGCTATAGGTCAGTGAGGTGTTGTTTTTAACCTTTTGCCCGGCAAGTGGCCCAGTTGGGCATCATACAGTCTCATCCCCGCTCGGGGCCTTAAATGGAGAACCCTATATCCGGTTCCTGCTTTTCTGATGGACGCACAAGAGTGACGAAGGTTTCGGAACAATGTTTCATTCTGGATCCAGAAAACGGCACCAATATTTATGTATTGCAACGGTGTAAATCGCACATAGCCCATGGGCCACAAGCCATTTCTGGAGGTCACAGTTCCTAACTGCATCCCAGATCTCTCCCCATGGAGGAAATAGAAATTAGAATTACAGTAGAACCCCCTGTATGCGTGTAGGGTCAGTTCGAAGCCGCTGCTCCCCCCCATAGATGCTGGCAAACGCAGATGATAATGAACATTGTACATAGTATGGCCTCTGGCTCCCTCTGGTGGTCAGTTCCCTCTCTTATCCCTGCGGGAGATCTGTGGCAGCCCCAGGGTCGTTTCCCCCTCCAGGTATTAACCAGCCCATTCTGGGTTCTGAGACGAGACGAGATGGCACCCCCTCAAAGTTGACGTGAGATGCTTTCCAAACGTCATCTGCTTCTGCGGGTGAAAAGGGAGTTGAGAATCCTGGCCGTGTCCGTCCTTGGGGCGGAAAGCAAGGGGTGTCTTGCGTTCATGGGAAACGCTTGATTTCTCCTCTCTTTCAGGACACTAAGGGAAAACCAGCCCTGGTCTTCTCCCAAGACCTCTGACAGGCACCTCACTCCGAGTTATCCCACGGCAGGCCAAATCAGCCCACGCACAAGGAAGTCCATGAGCCTGGATATGGGGCAGCCGTCTCAAACCAACACTAAAAAGTTACTCGGTGAGTGGAGAGCTCCGTCCTGCCTGTGAGGTTAGAAGGGGTCCTTTTCTGCCATAACGAGAGGGGAGCCCCTATGCTCTTTATCACCCCCCGTTGGGGCTGCTGACACCCAAAGAGGCGAACGCCCCTCTGTTTTCTTGCTGTTCTGCCTGTGCTTGCTATTCCGTCGTATTTTCAGCTGTAAACAAGCATCTTGTCATCTTTATTCAGACAGATCTTGTAAAAAACAAAGGTCTGCAGCTAACTAGGACCCCGACCCCACCATCTAGGGGGAAATTATGGGAAACGGTCATTTCTCCAGAAAGCCACTTTTTCAAGCCTCCTTGTTCAAGCCACATCCAGTTTGGGGGAAAAAAGCCACACGCAGTTCAGCTGCTGTCCTTCCTCGATCCCGAGTCCAGCCTTTTGATTTTGGTTCTCGTTTCGGCAGGTACAAGGAAGAGTTTCGACCACTTGATATCCGACACGAAAGCGCCCAAAAGGCAAGAAATGGAATCGGGGATCACCACGCCGCCCAAAATGCGGAGGGTGGCAGAAAACGATTACGAAATGGGTGAGGAAGGATCCACGTTTGTTGGTTTGGTTCATAGTTCGGTACCTTATAGCTAAAGGAATGGTTGCTGTGTTGGGGGTAGAGGCCCAAACGTTTGATATTCCTGATGGAACTCCTTATTTCCCAAAGCCTCGCGGTGGCTTCCGGTTGGGAATCCATCCAAACCACGCCCTCCCTATTGTTGCAAAATCAACGTTCACTTAAATAT